CTTGCTCTCTCTCTCTCTCTCTGTCTCTGTCTCTCTCAAATAAATAAATAAAATATTTTTAAAAAAAGAAAAGGAAAGAAGAAAAGAAAAGAAAAGAAAAGAAAAGAAAAGAAAAGAAAAGAAAAGAAAAGAAAAGAAAAGAAAGAAAAGAAAAAACGGAGGCCCAGAGAGGCACAGAACTTGCCTAAGGACACACAGTTCTTAGTAGCACAGGAACAAAATTCAAGACACAGCCCAGTGCTCTTGCCCTGCCAGGCCAGTGACTCAGAGTTCTTGACTCAGGCCTCAATTCATTTTGCTATACCTCATTCCTAGTCTTGTCCTGCTCAGAAATGGCCAGAATTTCCTCATCCCTAGGGTACTAAATGGGCTGGGCTCTGCGTACCCTCCCATGGCAAGTCAGGACAGACACAGGACTAGAACCTCCAGAGTCCTGAGTCCACTCAGCCTTCGGGGTCCCAGGGAGAATCGTTTTCATTCTACTCAAACACCACAACCACTCCCAGGACTTTTCAGAGGCGACTCCCCAGGGAAGTGCCCCGAGTCCTGACCAAGTGGACGAGGCAGGTTGTCACAAGCTTTTAGACCTAAGCAGGGTGAATCACAGAAGATGCATGCTCCTCTAGCTTCCTCTCCTCTCAGCCTAAGCCTTGGGCTTCACAGGAGAGAGGATGAGTGGAGAACAGGGCAAAGAGAAAACCTGGTGTTAGGAACTGCAAGGCAGAGAGGAGAAGCCAGACACAGCTCCCATGCAGGAGGATGGAGGTGACCCCAAGTGGACCTCAGGGGATACCTAAGAGAACATAGGACAAACCCTAGGGAAGCTACAGCCTGGAAGGGAAATGACTTCTCCAAGATGTTCATGGTCGAGCTGGAATGGAAACAGGACTTCTACCTTCTAGTCCTTTGTCTCTTTCTGGGATCCCTTTACCATGCTGTCACCTGCCCCACACCTCTGTTCTTTCTTCTCCCATGCAGACAGGGCACTTTTATTGCCTTTGCAGGGGAAAACTGAGGTGTGGCAAGTGGGCTTCTAGAAGAAGGTTAGGGACAGCTGCAGGAGGAGAGGATGTCTCAATTGTGCCTCCTCCTCAGTCAGTGAGGTGGAGCTGCCACTGGTGAGCAGAACTTTAGAGCACTCAGCACTGAGGATATGAAGGGCCCCCTTCCTATATGTAATTTTTAAATGTTCATATTAAAAATATTAATGATCATTAAAAATGAAATAAGTGTAAGGGAATCCTTATGTTCTGGTCATTGCAATTATAGTACTTCGGTGCAGGACGCCTGGGTGGCTCAATCCATTGAGCATCTGCCTTCGGCTCAGGTCATGATCCCAAACCCCTAGGATGGAACCCCGTGTCGGGCTACCTGCTCAGTGGGGAGTCTGCTTGTTCTCCTCTCCCTCTGCTCCTCACTCCCCACTGCTTGTGCTTGCTCTCTCTCTCTCAAATGAATAAATAAAATCTTTTAAAAAAAATACTTCAGTGCTTTTATGGAAATATAAAATGTCATATTCTTAAAATTTATTTTTCTCATTCTTTCGGTATCTCTTGACTGGTCATGTGCTCACACTGCCTCCTGGGAATTCAGCTCTGCCTTGCAACCCACAGTGTGCCAAAGGCCAGTCAGGAAGAGAGGTCCAGGATTTCCCCCTCTGATGGACCCCTAATAAAGGCCTCCACCCTCATCCTGCCCTCCACTCCACTTTGCCTGCCAAAGTATCAGGCATGGCAGCCCAGCCAGGAAACAGGAGACGCCGCTAGTCAATATCCCCTCCCTTCTGCTCTGTCCAAGGCTTCATGGTTCCAGAACCGGAGCCAACTTTCTGATAAGGGCTGGGTGGGTTTGGGGGGAGGAGCACAGGGAGTGCCAGCCTGTTAGCCTGTGACCGGGTCTCTTCCAAGTCACTCAGCAAACCTCCTTTGAAGGGGACATTGATTTCCCAACTTCCTTTAGAAAGCCATTCTATCCATCCCCACTAAGGGAAGGGAGGAGGCAAAGAAGAGAACCAGGTACCTGGCTGGGGTGAGGCAAGTCTAAGATAGAGCACCTATATTGAGAGCAGAGCTGGAACTGCCTTATTCAGAGCAGTTCCCATCTTATAGACAGGTTGTGTTCGGAAAGTCCGTTTATTTTTCTACTAACGTAAATCAACTAGATCAACGGTTTATCAAGTATTTACTATGTATGCTAGCTACACATTGCTTTATATAATCTTTCTGAGAACCCTGTGGTGTATTCTTTTCTTCACATTGTGGGTAAAGAAATGGAAAGCTCAGAGATGCTAAATAATTTGTCCCTGGCCACCCAGAGTCAAGGTTGAGAACAGATTCTTGATTCCAAGCCCCGTGGCTAATTCCATGATGCCACACTATTTTGGACAATAAATAATCTTCCAGATTAAGCCACTAGAACTCCTTTAATCCATTATGCATCCCAAAATAGTGTCCATTTGGAAAGGGAAAAAAGAAAATAGTACTGAAATACAAATAAATTAGTGTAGAAGAATAATGAAATGGACTTGGGAAGTGTTCTGTGGTCTAGAATAAGGGTTCCTTATGGAAAATGGCTTTATTGAGAAGAGCTGAAGGCGAATATAATGAAATTCACAAAGCTGAGGCAGGATACTTACAAAGGCTTAGGAGCTTGCCCATGCTGGCTCTTAGGGTCTACTTTTCTTCTTCATTTGTGCCTTTCCTGGAGGCAACAGCTGTGATTGGAGTTGATTTAAGAAATATAGCAAAGAGGGCACCCAGGTGGCTCAGTATGTTAAGCGTCTACCTTCAGTTCAGGTCCTGATCTCAGAGTCCTGGGACGGAGCCCCACATCGGCCTCTCTGCTCACTGGGGAGCCTACTTCTGCCTCTCCTTCTGCTGTTACCCCTGCTTGTGCTCTCTGTCTCTCTGTGTCAAATAAATAAGTGAAAATCTTAAAAAGATACAGCAAAGAAAAGTGTGTAAGAGAACAAAGAAAACAGAATTACTTCCATATAGATAACACAGCAAGGAAGGCTAAAAATAGAGAGGTGATGTGTGTCTGTAAGAATTAAGCAGCCAGGGATCCCTGGGTGGAGCAGCGGTTTAGCGCCTGCCTTTGGCCCAGGGCGTGATCCTAGAGTCCCGGGATCGAATCCCACGTCGGGCTTCCTTTACACTCACTGTGCTCAAGCTTTCCTTCTGTTCCTTAGGCACATCCACATCGTTCCTAGCCCAGGGCTCTGCGTTTGCTGCTCCTCTGCCTGGAACACACTTTCCCACCTCACTGCATGACCAGTTACTTCTCATTCTTTGTGACACACATCACATACCAGCTCTTCAGAGGGTCCTTCCCTGACCTCTGATGAAAAGTTTCTGTTTAAATTATTCTCAACCGCAACACCCAGTTTCTTTTCTTTATCGCACCAAAACTGCCTCCTTTACTTGTTATCTGTGTTTCGATTATCTGTCTCTAGCCACAAATCTTGGTCATTGCACCTGGCCATGTGCCTAGGTCATTGTATGAATTAACAAATGAGTCAATGAAAAGAGGAAGTTGCAGGTTTCTAATTAAAAAATTACTTTTCCCTATAATATTGAAAAAAAATTTTAAATTAAAAAAATACTTTTATTTTTAAGATTTATTTATTTATTAAGTAATCTCTATACCCAATGTGGGGTTTGAACTCACAACCCTGAGATCAAGAGCCCCATGCTCCTCCTACTGAGCCAGCCAGGTTCCCGTCAAAACTACTTTTCTTTAACACTATTTTTATTTATTTATTTAATCTTATTTATTATTTATTTATTTATTTTTAAAGATTTTATTTATTTATTTGAGAAAGAAAGAGAGAGCATGAGCAGGGGGAAGGATAGATGGAGAGGGAGAAGCAGGCTCCCCACTGAGCAGGGAGCCCTACTCAGGGCTCCATCCTAGAACCCTGAGATCATGACCTGAGCCAAGGTCAGACACTTAACCAAATGAGCCACCCAGGCACCTCATTAATACTGTTTTTTAAAGATTTTATTTATTTATCTGAGACAAAGAGAGCAAGAGCATGAGTAGAGGGTGGAAGGGGGGTGAATAGCGGGTGGGGAGGCAGAGGAAGATGGAGAAGCAGACTCCCTGCTGAGCAGAGAGCCAGGGCTCAATCCCAGGACTCTGAGATCATGATCTGAGAGACGCTTAACCCACTGAGTCACCCAGGTGTTCCCCCTCCACAAAATACTACTTTTATAAGGAGCCAAGTTTGTATACAAACCATAGAGTTGAAGGCAAGTACATCTGTTGTTTGTAGGGCCTTAAATATATCTGCATTTTGAGGGAGGTGAATCATTTAGGAAGAAGCCAGAATTAGATAATTAATTCCCAAGCCAGGCATGGCAGAGTCTGCAGGTGACCAGCCCGACTTCTGACCAATACAGGGCAACTCCCTAGACAGGTGAGATGTTCAGGAGCAGAGCTGAAGCATTTCAACAGTGCATATTTATATTTATAATAGCTGCTCTGTATTGAGCCCCTCATAGGTGACAGGCACTGTGTTAAGTGCTTTGTATTCACAGCTGTGATCAAGCCTCACCAAAAACCTGTAGGCTGCATACTATTTCTAAGCCCCTTTTACAGATAAGAAAGCTATGGTTTAGAGAAATAGCTTGCTAACTGGGATTTAAGCCCAGCCTGGTGTGACTCCCAAGCCCCTAACTCATCCAGCATGCCCTGCTAGATCCCTGACCATGCCGGGAAATATTCTAGGTGGGGATTGCTCGGCCAGTTTGAGAATTAAGAAAGCTAGGATTTAGAAATATTGAGTGACTTACCCAAGACCAAAAAGGTAGTCAGTGGTCACCTGGAACGGAGTCTGTGTCCTCCTGGCTTTATCCCGGGACTCCTTTTCCTATAGCTTATAGACCTCATTGGGACAAAGGTTAAGACAGGGCATGATGATGTATGTGCCACAGATGCTTGGAGACCACGGGAGGGGAAAGGATGCATGGGAAGGCTGACGCTCCTCTCTCCCTCAGGCATTCCTGGAGAAGTATGGATATCTCAATGAGCAGGTCCCCAAAGACCTCACCTCCGCAAGATTTAGCAATGCCATCAGGTAGGACAGAGGGATGTGGGGGGCTTGGGGTGCGGAGGGCAAAGCTTCGGTCACCCCCTCCCTCTTCGTGGAAGGCTGACCTCCCCACCTGTGTCCATGTTCCCTCCCCCTCCTGCTGTCTCCAGGGAAGCTCCTTGCCCTCACCACCACTCCCCCCCACACACATACACTGTGGTCCTTTATCTCAATTCCTCCTGACAGGGAGTTCCAGTGGGTATCTCAGCTGCCCATCAGCGGTGTGCTAGACCCTGTCACCCTGCGCCAGATGATGCGGCCCCGCTGTGGGGTGGCAGACACAGACAGCCAGGCGGCCTGGAACGAGAGGGTCAGTGCCCTGTTTGCTGGAGGCCGGGCCAAAATGAGGCGTAAGAAACGCTTTGCAAAGCAAGGTGAGCCCTGTTGAAATCTAGCTAAGCTGGGACTGTCAACAACCAGAAGCCCTGTGGCCAGAGAAAAAACCAGCCCAGCCTCAGACTGGGCTTTGTCAGTAACCTCCTCCCTAAGGGCCCGAGACGGGAGAACAGTGGGTGAACAGGACCCCTCAAGTGGAGGACCATCTTTGTGAACACAGACATTTAAATCAGAATTATACCTACATGGATGAATTTTCATTATGCAAATATTTTCCAGAGCAAGCCCCATCAAGCCCACTTCATTCCTTGATCAGGTTGTTATGCAGAGCAGTTAAGCTGTTGCCAACATTTTGTTTACATTTTCCTAAAGTTGTTTTCATCAATTCTTTTTTTCATAAGGATTATTCAACAAAGATACAATTTATCAATCAGTTTTACTTTGTCCAAAGCACATTTTTAACAGCCTTATTGAAATATAATTCACATGTCATAAAATTTACCCATTGGAAGTGTGCAACTTAGTGGTTCTTAGTACATTCTCAGAATTGTGCAACCATTACCACAATCTAATTCCAGAGCATGTTCATCCCCTCCGAAAGAAACCCCAGGCTCCTTAGCGATCACTCTCCCCGCTCTCCCCCTCTGTGCCCCCTCCCCCCAGCCCCTGACAACTACCAATCCGCTTTCTGTTTCTATGGATTTGCCTATTCTGGACATTTCACTACTGCTTATTTTATCACATCACATCACAATTTCTGCCGTTGTGATTCTCTTTTTGTAGTTTTGGTTTTATCTTTCCTTCTCCTCCTCTTCCTCCTTTTCCTCCAGGTCCAATTTCATCTCCAGGGCATCTCAATCTTCCAGGGCCAAATGATACAGACCTAAGACTTATGAAGATTTGATTCTTCTGTCAATTCTTCATCAATAACAGGTTTTACTGTGTGTAATTTTTGCATCTTCTTTGCACTAAGTCTCATTTTCTCTGACCAATTTTTTGCAGTTTTTAGGATTTCTAAGAAGATAGGGTTGTTGAGTCAAATCTTCATCTATAATCAAGTTTACTACAAACACTTTGGGCCATTGCCTCTTTTAATTTGCATTATCTACCTCCACCGACAATATCCATTATGCACAGAACATGAGGTTCATAGGTCGTTTTTATTTCTTAGCTAATCCACAAGGAAGTTGTGAGCGGTTCCCCTCAACTCCTGGAGTATGGCAGTGTTGGGGTCCAGGCTATGTGGTCGAGAAGTCCTTGGTGTCAACATGTTCCACATCCCACTGTGTTTCTGGACAGCGGAGGTAGAACAGGGGTGCAGCGTGAGCTGGAACAGCATTCCTGAAGCTGGGGCTCTGGGGTCAGCAGTATGTCACTGCTCATTTCCTCATCTAAGACATGGGCCCTTTCTGGTTGCAAAGTAGAGATGGCCCCTGATCACCAAGGAGAAAGGTCTTGTACTGGAATGTGGGGCAGCCCCAGACACAGTCTCAGCAGTGGCACTTCCAGGTTACAGGTGATCTCCCAGAGAACTGGGATGATGCCTCCTGGGTGCCATCCAGGGCACAACGTGAACACCAAGGATACTTTCTTCTGGTTGCCTCTTCTGCCTTTTCAAGGGAATATCTGATGGAACCCATTTGGCACTATTCAATTCGGAGCATCCATTTGTAACAAAGATTCAAACTAAGGCACCTCCCAGGCAGGTAGCCCTGCCCTCCCAGCCTAGCTCCACCAGCCTAGCCCCATATCACCGTCTGACCCTGACCCCTGGGTCCAGACAGCAGTGACCAGGTGAGATGGAGACTTTTCCTCTAGTTCATAACGTGAACTACAGCAGCTTGACTTCCTTTACCCCCTGAGTGAGATGTTCCCTAGAAAGGAGCTATATGCTTGGCAGGCACTTCCTGTGCTTTCCTTAGGAAAGGTATTGTTAGGAAAAGGTTTTTTTGTTGTTGTTGTTTGTTTGTTTTGTTTTGTTTTTAGGAAAAGGTATTGTTAATAGTTAACCCTTACTGGGCATTTACGACGTGCCAAGTGCAGTTCTAAATAGGTTAACTTGTGTGATCCCCTAACAACCTTAGGAGATAGGGACCATCATTATCCTCATTTACAGATAGGTAAATGAAGGGACAAAGAGCTTATGCAAATGTTTTCCCCAGGGCCACATAGTCAGAATGTGGCCAAGCCTTCTCACACCAGGAGGAGTGATATTCCACATGTGAAAAACCCCAGGACACGCGTGGCTGCTTTAAAAATGATGTGGATTTCTAGGCCAGTGACTGTTGATGCTGTGTGTTAATGCTATACTGATGAAGCTGGGCTCCAGGGTAGGGTTGGCAGGCAAAATATAAGATGTCCAGTTAAACTTGGATGTCAGGTGAATAACAGATAATTGTTTTATTCTCACTCTTATACTAAAAAAGTTATTTGTTGTTTATCTGATGTGCAAATTTAACCAGGTGCTCCACGTTTTTATTTGCTAAATCTGGCAACCTCATTCCAAGTGTCTAGTCCCCTCAGTGCCTGCTGGGGAGATTTTCAATTCCCCTTGGTCCCTGGAGCTCAAGAGGAGGGGTGAAGGGTACAGCAGTGAATCCGGGGTGGAAAAGAAAGGGGAAGGGAATGGGCATTTACTGAGCACCCACCACATGCCTGGCAGCTATACATTGCTGCTTCATTTGCCATCTCATGTTTGCCACAACTAAGTCTTACCAACCACACTTTGCAAATAAGGAAACTAAGGTTTGGAGAGATTCCATAATTTGCTATCTAAGTTTGCAAGTAGAAGTCCTGGGATTCCAACACAGTATTGTTGGAGTGCTAGGAGTCAGTGTTGAATCCTGCTAGGAGTCAGGATTCAGGGTCCTCCCCAAGCAGGGAGGTCTCCACTTCTCCCCATGTCCTTTTCCTTCCCTCATCCCTTTTGGATTTTGGAGCAAGGGTGTGTGGGTTGGGGAGGTGCACTGGCAGGTGCACCTTCTGTGGCCTAGAGGTCACTGCAGAATCCAGCCTTGCCTGGGCCAGAGTTCAGGATGGGGGCCTGAGGTGGCCAACCTACTCCAACCTGCTCCAAGGACATAAATCTGGAAGAGGACAGAGAGGGCTCAGGCTGGTGGTTAGGGTGGTGGGGAGGTCATTCCTTCATGGCAGGACACACGAACGACCCCTCCCAAGGAAAATTAGCCATTTTCTCTCAGTCCTGTATTTATTTGTCCTCTCCGTCCTCTTCCAAAGACACACACGCATGCACACACAGATTCAAAGAGGATTTTTGGCCTGCAAGCTGTCACCTTTCCTAGCCAAAGTGAGAAAAGTGCTCACCCTCTCCCTTTCTTGCCAGATTGGTGAGGCCCTCCTCTAATGCAAAGAGGCAGAAAGAGCTGCCTCACTCTTCTAGAAGCTTGAAGGTGGATGGGGAAAGTCTGGGAGTCAGTCACCCCCAACAGGGTGTGGAAATGCCCAGCGCCAGCCAGTCCAGAGCCCTCCAGGTCACCTCTGGACCCCAGGCCTTCCCTCCCCCTTCCTTGTCTCCCTCCCTTCCTAAGAATCCTTCCCTCTTCCCTCCCTGAGGGTTGGTCACTGGCTGGGAGGGGTTGGGTGGCTGCCAGGCCAAACAGGCCTGGGAAGGCAGCATTGCCTTGAATGGAGCTTGGCTCAGGGTGGGAGAAAAGACATTCCCCTCCCCCATTTCCATGGGGGCTGGGGGAGGGAAAGGGCACTCAGCTCCTCTATCCACTCTCTACCACCCTCCCTTCCATCTGAAGAATTTCAGTTCATGCAGAGCTCCTGTTTTGACCCAGAGGAGCCACGTTTAGGCAAATATATAAGCCTCGAGTCTTAGCAAGTGTGCCTGCTTACCTGCGTGATCTAGTAGAAAGCACACTGATCAGATGTCAGGGCCTGGGCCCAGGGCCTACCTCGGCTACTCACTCATTCTGTGACCCTGGGCAGGTCACTGCCCCCTGGTCTCAATTCCCCCAGAACAGAGCAGAGAGGTTGGATAAGGAGATGGCTAACCTTCCAGGACCTTAGTTCTGGTTCAGGCAAGTATTTCTCCGAGGCAAAAGGGCAGGCGCTCTGAACCTTCAATTCTTCTTCCAAAGAGAGAGAGGGCTGTGCCCATTGGCCTGGCCTGCCTACTTGTCACCCACAGTTCGAGAATTCTGGTCCATTTAGGAAATTGAGACCTCAAAGATAACATGATTCCTAAGCGCTCCCTGGGCCCCAGGGAGCCTCAGAGGCCTATGTCTGAGCTGTAAGTCTTCCACATGAAGTCACAATCTCAGCCCCTGAGCTTGGAAAGCTCAGAAATACCCCATGAAAAACTCCAGATCTGGACCTTCTAAGCACCCTGGTACAGGGTGTGTGGTGAGCTGTAGGGGACTCAGTTGACCTGAGGCTTGGGCGAGAGGCCAGAAGAGACTTACATCCAAGGGAGGAATTGCAGTTCTGGGCAAAGGAATAGAAACTCGTAACTAAGTAGAGATGGAAAAATTTCTCTCTGTCTCAGTGAGTGACAAAACACACCCTTTGTTCTTATTTGTTTTCACCTCGGAGCTCTCCAGAGTCCCTGAGGAAGTGAGGGGGAGGGCCAGGGGTCAGGAAAAGACCTCTAATAAATGGGTCTTGGTAGCTTCTCAGCAGCAGTGGAATGGGAGGGGCAGGCGGGTGTGGGGGGTAGAGAGGAGAGAGAAGTGAGATGGGGTCCAAGCCGTGGCCCCGCTGGCTCCCTCTCTCCTCCACCTCCTGACATAGTGGGCAGGGGTAGGGGTTTGCGGCCAGCAAGAGGTGCAGAGCAGTTTTCGGGCTCAGCCAAGGCTGTGGGGAAGAAGACCCCAAATGGCAGAGTCCTTCAGGCTGGGGCTTTTCCTGGGCAGAGGTCACATCTCCCCTAGGGACCTCCCCAGCCCAAGCTACTAGACTGGGGACTCTCTGGGACAAGGGTAGTCCTATCAACATGAGAGCAGTGTCTCCCCCACCAAATGGGCTCTTCCGGGGCGCCAGGGCTGTGTGTCTTTCTCCTTCACATCCGGGACTCCCCAGAGGAGGGCCGAGCCCCCATCATATGGGTCCTTGGGGACCAGCCCCAGGTTCCACAGGGAAGTGTGACTGACGTGGCCTCTCTGGCTGGCAGGCAGCAAGTGGTACAAGCAGCACCTCTCCTACCGCCTGGTGAACTGGCCACAGCACCTCCCTGAGCCTGCAGTTCGTGGGGCCGTGCGAGCCGCCTTCCAACTGTGGAGCAATGTCTCGGCGCTGGAGTTCTGGGAGGCCCCAGCCACAGTCCCTGCTGACATCCGCCTCACCTTCTTCCAGGGTGACCACAACGACGGGCTGGGCAACGCCTTCGATGGCCCAGGTGCCGACACAGAGGCTCTCTCCCACATGGCCGCAGGGGAACCCAACCAGGAGAGGCAGTCTGGGGCGGGCAATGGGGCCTGGGCCGAGCCGTATCCTCCTTCAAAGAACCCTCAGTCTCCTGAATGGGAACAATGGTTCCTGCCCAGTTACGTGCCACATGGCTGAAAGGACAGCCAGATGAGGTCCTGCACGGAAAGCACATTGCAAATTCCCAAGGATCTCCTGGGAGAACCTTCTGGGGTCCCGTCATCCATCCTCTGCCTCTAGACAGGCCTGTGCCTCTCCTGTTCTCCAGGAGGGGATGTTCCCAGACCACCACCCTAGAAAGTTCCAGAGGCTGCTGCCATCCCACGCCTGCCCTCCCCACACCCACTACAACAGTCACTGCTGCAAGGCAAGAGGCTTTCTGTCCCCTCTCCCCCCACAGAAGTGCTTCACATTCCCACCTCAGCCCGGACACTTGCCCTGTTTGCCCCTAGCCTAAAGGCTTACGGCACCAATCTAAACTCCTCTCCTCCCACTCCGCCCAACATTGGCCTTCAGAACCTGACTGCGGGTTACCTGTGCATCGTCCCCCCACCCTCCACTCTAATGAGGGAAGGACACCTGATTGGACCCCTTCACGGTGGGAACTGAAGCCTTTGTGTGGCCTGAGAATTTAGGCCCTCACCTCCCTTGTGCTCCTCTGCTTTCCATCAAGTCCACTCAAAGCAAAGCCCAAGTCCAGGCCCTGCTGCTGGGACCCAGGGTAGGACTGCAAGAAATCTAAGGTTTTCAAGAATCCACATGTAACACACATGTGTTCTTGCATGTAACTCACTTTACCCATGATATCTACGTGACATGTTTATGCCCATACCCAGCTAGAGTCACCCAGCTAAGACAACATTGGACTGGGAGAAATCTCTGATTTGGGGCAGGTACTTTGTCTTTTTTGAGTTCAAGTGTTCTCTCTTTCTCTCTCTGAAACCTGTCATCTGTCTCCCAGGGTTACTGTGAAAAGTGAACAGAAAGGGCTAACATTGCTCGGGGAGCTTGAGGCATATTCCAAACAGGAGGCATGTGGCTCACTCCCCACACCCCGGGCCGCTCTCCTTTAATGGTGGTCAATCCCCATTGGCCTGGGCTCCAAGAAGGCTATGCTGGAAGTGCCCTCAGCAGGCTTCTAGGCCAACATTATCACGATGCAGTTTGCTGGCCCCTGTCCCTGCAGGAAGTGAATTATGAAGCATGGGGCCCTGGGAGCTGTGCAATGGGATAAGCTCCCTGTGGGGCATGCCACAAGCTAGAACATCACTGATCCAGGTCATTCCCTCTGCTCACACATAATACAGCAAGGCAGTGGAGACCCCCCAGCAGAGCCCTGCAGAGGAAGGCAAGAACACGCACACAGATATACTTTTTATTAAAGAGGCTATACAAAAAAAAAAAAAAAAAAGAGGTTATACATACCCACAAACACACCCAGCACCCAGATCGATAAACGCCATCACCAACATCCAGGAGGTCCCATCGTGCCCACCTCTGGGGTAACCACTATTCCTGTCCCTAGATCTTTGTGAAGATAATTCCTATGCAGCATTCATTACTTGCCCAAGGCCACACAGCCAGTGAATAGTAAAACCGGGATTGAAACCCCGGCAGTTAGCCCCCCCCACCCCCACCCCGCGCTGGATGCACAGCTGGCTGCCTCCTAGACGTCCACACCCCACTGCTAGTCTCCAGTTCAGTGCTCCCCACTGCAGCCTCTGCCCCAGGTCATTAGGAGGGAAATTATGCGGCAGAAAACAGCCACAGCCACCCCTGAGCCCTGAGGCTCAGCGCCCCCGGCTGCGGCTGCGGGGAGGGCGCGCGGCGGGGGGGGGGCGGGGGCGGGGCGCGGGGCCCTCCCGGCCTGGCTGCCCCTGACCCTCCGCGCCGCCTGCAGGGGGCGCCCTGGCGCACGCCTTCCTGCCCCGCCGGGGCGAAGCGCACTTCGACGGCGACGAGCGCTGGTCCCTGAGCCGCCGCCGCGGCCGCAACCTGTTCGTGGTGCTGGCGCACGAGATCGGCCACACGCTCGGCCTGCAGCACTCCCCCGCGCCGCGCGCGCTCATGGCGCCCTACTACAAGAGGCTGGGCCGCGACGCGCTGCTCAGCTGGGACGACGTGCTGGCCGTGCAGGGCCTGTATGGTGAGCCCCGGGCCCCCGCGGTCCGGAAGCCCCGCGCCCCTCAAATCGGGGAAAGCGCCCGCCCCGCGCCCGACCTTCCGCCCCAGCCCGGCCCGCGCTCGGCCCTCCCGGCGCTCCGAGTCCGGCCGGTCCCGCCGCCGCCGCGACTCCCAGGCCCCCGCCCTGCCCCCGGCCCCGCCCCGCCCCGTGCCTGCTCCGCTCGCTCCCCGCCAGCCTCCCCCTGGCCGACGCCGGTGCCCGCTTCCCCCCAAGCCTGGGCCTCTGCCAGGTAGAGCCAGCCGAGGTCTCCCCCGCCCCGCCCCGCCCCGCAGAATGCACTGGCCAGGGCTGCCGCGCAGCTGGCGGGCGGGCGCCCTCCCCTCCGAGGGCGCGGTGCGCAGGCAGGTCACCGCCCGGGCTCAAGTCCGCAGGCCACTCCTGGCAAGCAGGTGCTCGCTCGTGGGCAGAGCATTTCCTCCGAGAGCCCTCAGTGTCGCCTTCTGAGAGAGGGGTTAACACTTGGGGCCCTGCCTACCTCCCAGGCCTGTTGCCCTAGTGGGTATGAGCTTCTCTGTAGCCTAAGAAACCCGGCAAACAGCTGCTATCTCATGTGTATGCCGCATGCAGCCCACTCGTGGGGAGAGCAGCTTTTTGTCCACGGATGGGGAGAACGGGGCTCCGAGGGGTTAGATAACTTGTCCAAGGTCACGCAGCTAGAGAGTTGCAGAGCAGGATGCAGGAGCTGGTGCCACATTCTAAGCTTCTTGGACTCTGCCTCACTCTCAGTATGGCGATGTAATTCTTATAATTGCTGTAACTATCACAGCCCAGGCCCCTGAACTCTGCCCGCATGACATGTGTGTTGCCCAGGACTCAAGGAAGAGAACCTTCTGGCTCTTCTTAATGCCAAACCCTTGTGTGGTCCCCCACTCCGGTTTTATCTCAGTAGGGTCCTCTTTCCCAGATTGTTCTGTAGGCAAGAGGGCACTTCAGTTTAGTGCTATGGTTAATAATACCAACAACCAAGGACAACTCTTAGCCCTCAACCCCCGCCCCTCCTTCCTTGCCTCTCATACCAGATAATGATGGAAGGAACCAGAAGGGAGGTCTTAAGACCCTCAACACATGCCCCAACCAGTGTGTGTTCTCTCCCTTTCTCTCCTTCCCCATGAAGGAAAGCCCCAGGGGGGCTCAGTAGCCATCCAGCTCCCAGGAAAGCTGTTCACTGACTTTGAGGCCTGGGACCCCCACAGGCCCCAGGGAAGGCGCCCCGAAATCCAGGGTCCCAAATACTGCCACTCTTCTTTCGATGCCATCACTGTAGGTAAGATGGTCCCACCTTTTGCCTCACTTCCTTTTTCCTTCCCCTTTCTCCAGGGGTCTCCAGAGCTAGAATCCAAGGTGGGGCTATGAATAAAAAAAAAAAAATCCAGAAATCCCAAGCCACAGGCATTCTGCAGGGTAGCAAGCCCTTGCCAAGCAGAACACTGCTTCCTCCTGTGTGCTGTCCCTCTGCCCCACCTGTGCACGCTACATCCTCTCTCCTCAGTCTGGGAAGCTGGTTCTAGCACCTGCCCTGGAAGGAAGGCAAGAGGCTGATGGTCACTCCTCAATTCTCTTGTCTCCGAACAGATGGACAACAGCGACTATACATTTTTCAAGGAAGCCACTTCTGGGAGGTGGCCCCAGATGGCAATGTCTCAGAGCCACGCCCACTACAGGAAAGGTGGGCTGGGCTGTCCCCCCACATTGAGGCTGCTGCAGTGTCGTTGGACAGTGGGGACTTCTACTTCTTCAAAGGTACCAGCCCTGGGGCAGATGAGAAAACAGAGCCTAGAGAAGGGAGGTGTTCTGGTCAAGGTCAGAAGAGAAGAGAGGAGTCTCAATTCCAATCTGAACCTGTGACCCCAGGGCATTTTACCAGGAGGTTCCTTCAGTGATGGAATGCCAGGCATGAGTGTTGAGGTTGTCCCAGGGAGAAAGGGTGGGAGAGCTGAGAGAAGAGTCTAGAAGGGAAGCAGAGGACCACTCCAGAGCTCTGCAATCAGCCAAAAAGTCCTAGTTCCTTAGAATCCTGGTTGTGTGAGATCGGGCCTTTGACTTGGGCTTGAATTTCTTGAATGGGGAAAAGAATCCCTCAGATTTGTTGAGGAAGGAGGATTAAACAACATAACGTTTGAGGAGCATGCAGTATGAGTATGTAGTTTCATTCATCGAACAAATACTAAGTGCCTTGTGTGCATTAGACACGGTTGAGGTGTTGGGATACAGTAGTGAACAAAACAAAAATCCCTGCTCTCATAGAACTATGTGTAGAAATGATGGCGACTGGCCTTCGCTATGGTCACTGCCCTTTCAGGGAAGGGGACAGCTTCCCCCCTCCCCTGGCTGGGTTCCTGCGGGCGGTCTGCCCTCTACTGACACCTGCTGGAGGTCTAGGCCACAACAGGCCCTCCTTAGGGGGTAATGACCAATTATTAGCACTGTGTGATCCATTTTGATTATCACAACTACTAACCACCTTGGGCTCCAGCATGAGGGGGAGCAGAGGTATGGACGGAGGAGGTGAGGCGGAGGACCAAAGGGTGAAAGCCACCAGCTCACCCTGGCTCTTCCGATGCCCTACAGGGAGCAGATGCTGGAGGTTCCGCGGCCCCAAGCCAGTGTGGGGTTCACCACAGCTGTGCCGGGCAGGGGGCCTGCCCCGCCACCCCGACGCAGCCCTCTTCTTCCCGCCTCTGGGCCGACTCGTTCTCTTCAAGGGTGCCCGCTACTACGTGCTGGCCCGAGATGGACTGCAGGTGGAGCCCTACTACCCCCGGGGCCTGCAGGACTGGGGCGGTGTCCCCAAGGAGGTCAACGGCGCCCTGCCTCGGCCTGATGGTTCCATCATCTTCTTCAGGGATGACCGCTACTGGCGCCTTGACCAGGCCAAACTGCAGGCGACCGCCTGGGGCCGCTGGGCTGCAGAGCTGCCTTGGATGGGCTGCTGGCATGCCAACTCGGAGGGTGCCCTGTTCTGAAGACACCCCCCACCTCTTGCTGAATTGTTGGTGCCCTCATGGCCAGTGTGTGTGCCCTGGCCCAGGGGCAGGATCTGTGTTGGAAGCTTCTGAGCCTCCCTGCAGAGGACCAGGCAGGAAAGTTTGCATTTGTTCCCTGGAGAATGTCTTTGTGCTCTTAAGACATTGATCTTTGTGGGATCAATCCAAGGAGAAGCCAAAAAGGGTCTCAAACCCCAATGGCTCTTCCTCAAAGGACCCCAAGCCTGGAGGATTTTGTTTCTTCTGCTAAAGGTGCACTTTCTATCAATGAGGCGACAGCTCAGGCGGCCAGAGAGGATCTAAAGCTCGATGGAGAGGTTGGGACTTCTTTGCAAGACTGTCTCCTTCCCCTCAGAACCTCCTGGCTCAGTTCTTGGAGAGTTGGGTCTTTTCAAATGTGAGGCCTCACCTCCAGGAAGCTTGTGTGTGTTGGGTACAAGGAGTTTCCAAGGACCCCTCTTGGGTGGGAGGGTCAGGACCCAGAGCAAGAGGGAGACTGATGCAGGCCTGCTGGGCTCGACTTTGGGGGATGGGGTGGCTGGAATAAAGTGGTGTCCCCAGCTGGTGGGCCTGGAGGCGGGCACAGCCTTCCTTGGAATGGTTTCCAGTGAGAACAGGTGGGGTAGGGATGCTGGAGAGGCCGGAACCGCGTTCTTTTCTGTCCAAGCCAAGACCACAGACTGTGTGAGTAGTTGTGATGGGGAGAGGTGGCCTGAAAAAGCAAAATGTCCCTGCCCTCCCTCACTCCCCAGGCTAGATAGAGAGCCATGGGTGGTAGGAAGAGGATGAGGCGAGGGTGGCAGGCTCAATGCAGAGCGGCACTGCAAGCGCTGGGGTCCCTGCAGGCTGGGGGAGGCCCTGTGCTCACAATGGCCCCATTCTTCAGGCCACACACGCAGCGTTCCAGGAGCTGCTGGCTGGCCAAGAATAGCTGGGATTCCTGGAGAAGGAACCCGCTCCCCAGCCTCTCTGTCTTCTGCTTCAGCCGTCTGGGCGTTTGAGCATCTGGTTCCCTTGTCCGCCCCCTCCACACCTGCCAGTGCCTCATTTGCGCACACACTGACCTCAGCAAGACCAGGCTTCTAGGGGAAGGGGAGAAGGATCTGGCAAGACTCAGCCCTCAGCTCCCCACGGACATTGCTGGCGCTCCCCTACACTTTCTTCTCTGTGCAGGGCGGGGGGTGGGGGGGGCGGACGGGGATGGCCGTTGACTGCCCTTGATGCAAGTGCTTTGTTCCACCCTGGCCTGGGGAGCTGGAGGGAGGAGGCTCTCTGCCATCCCTTTTCCCTCTGGCCTGAACCCTGGGATGGGCAAGGAGGGTCCTTATCTGGGACCCTCAAGGGGTCACCTGGGAGCCACCTGGCTTCCACCTGGAGACACTGACATTTTAAATTCAAGGTTTATTGAATGATTGGAGAGGCAGGGGTAGGTTTCCCGGCGGTGATCGAACCCATCTAGGCGATGCCTCTGCCACCGGGCCAGAGGACCTGAACTACCCGAGAGAGGACTATGAGGCTGTGCCAGGCGACTCGAGCCAGGTGGGCGGTAGGCACTGGGTGCCGCGGGGACGGGAGCCCTCTGGAAGCGCTAACGGCAGCACCCAGCTCCAGGTGATGTTGGGCCCAGCCTGGGGTGGGCGCTCGGCGACAGGCGGCGACACCCACGGCGACCGCGGCCGGCTCGCGGGCTGGGCGGAGGCGCTGCAGGGAGGGCGGTCTGGGAAGGGGCAGTTCTGTGGAAGGTGCAGGGGAGCGCGCCGCGTCCGGGGAGAGGAGAAGGTGGCGGGGAGGCCGGGCAGGCGAGGACGGAGGGCACAGAGGCTCGCAGCGGGGCGGGGCGCTCAGGGGCCCCCGCCGGCCCCCGCGCCCCCCGCGCCCCCCGCAGCCCGCGCCTCACGCAGATCGCGGTGCTCCAGGATGCAGTGCGCCACGTAGGCCGGGTGGCTGTGCAGGTTCCTGCACTTCTTGCAGAAAAGGATCTCGCAGCGCGCACAGCCCCCGGCGCGCGGACGCCGGCGCCGAGTCTCCAGCACGCACGGCGGCTCCGGGAGGCTCCGCTTCCTGCGCGGGGCGGGGGACGCTCAGGGCCCCGCGCGGCCGCCCTCCCCGCCGCCCCGCCCGGCCCCGGGGCGCGCCCTCACCTGTCCGCGGGGGCCCCCAGTCCGCCGAGCAGCGCTAACGGGCCGAGCCAGCCCCAGAAGCCGCTGTCCGCGCGCCGCAGCAGCGCCACCTGCTGGCTGCTGGATTCCTGGCGCAGCGGGCAGTAGGACACTGAGCCCCGCTCGCGGCCCTCGCCGCCCTCCGCCTCGCCCTCCGCCGCGCTCTGCTCCCGCCGCCCCGGCGCCGCCGTCTGCTCTTCCTCCTCCTCCTCCTCCTCCTCCTCCTCCTCCTCTTCCTCCGAGCCTTCGTCTGCGGCCGCCGCCGCTTCGGTGGCCGCGGGCTCCGCCGGCTCCTTCTTCCACAAGGGGGTCTTCACTCCTGCGGGGCGGACGGGAGGTGGGGGCAGGAGGTCAGCGCAGGCCCGTCGCCCCGGGGAAAAGCCGGGTACCCCGACTGCTGTCCACAACCCGACCACACCCCCCCCAAAATCATCCCGAAGGACAGTGTGCGCGGGATGCACCAGACTAGCAGGATTCCAAAGCGAGGGTTACAGGGTGTGCAGGATTTCCCCGGGGGTGAGACAGGGCCTGCGGGGCTGGGCCCCGCTCCCCCAGGTTCCTACTCTTCCTCCAGGAGGATTCGGGGCAAGTCACGTCGCTTCTGTCAAGCTCCGTGTCCCCATCTGTAAAAAGTAGTGGCCACCTCAAGGGTGACTGCGAGGCAGGTAGCAGGTCGCCGCGACGTCAAGCGCCCAGCCCGGGGCTTCCAGGGGGCAACCAACCAGATGGAGCAAAAGGTGCTGGAGCCCCTAGGCTGGCTCATCACCACCTTCCTTCTAACTGGCTCGAGGGTGGGGACCGAGCTCTGTGTAGACTGCCAATAAACAGTAAGCGCAGTTTGTAGGGAGATGTTTGCATTTTGTTTTCTGCCACGTGGGCCTTGCCTGAAGGAAGCCCAGCTGTGTGGCAGGCACCTCGGATGAGCAAACCCACCTCTCGCTCACATACACACACACCAACCACCACCACCACCACCATGGGCAGACCGGTTAGGAAAAGGCTGCCCTAGGAGTGAGCCAATTAGGAAAAGATGTCTCTTCTTCCTTCCAGGCTTGACCTCAATGGCCGGCTGCATTTCAGTCACCAATGTCCCTCCGGCTGGAGCCTTCCATGGATGGCACAAACTCCATAACTCAAAACTTGAGTTCTGGCAGGCAGGACGTTCCTGGGCTGCCATGCAAAGTAACCTGGCCTCGCCTAGGCCACCTCCCGCCTGGCACCACCTTGTGTCTGTCCTGCTCTCTGCTGCATCTGGAGAGCTAGACCCCCAAGGAAAAGCAGGAGGGATGAGGGCAGCAAAGACACAAATGTGGTTTGCCCTGGAAAGGTCAAGAGAATTCCTATCATTTCCTGCCCATCCCGTTTAAAGAGGATGGGGACAAAGAATGGTGAAATTAGTGTTCCAGCTCACTTGTACTGGGCACCAACGGTATGCAGTCACTGTGCTAAACTCTTCATACATTGTGCCGCTTCATCTTCACAAGCACCTCAGGTAGGGGCGAGGGAGGTAACCAAGGGGCCTCTGAATTTCATCCAAGATTTATGAAACCTTTCCAAAAAGGTTGTTTCAAAGATGTTGCTGATGCTGAAAATCCAGGGTCCACTGCACCCTTCATTGGGAAAACACACGAAGGAGCGTCTTGGTGGTGAAAGGCCAGACTTAGCGCCCAGCCAGAAAAGGGATGCCGCAACTTTTCGGGAGAAATGGGACTAGGAAACAAAGTTAGAAGGGAAGGTTGGGACTTTCGGTGCCAGGCTACGGAGTTAGGATTTTGTCTTTCAGGAGTGGGGAGCCACTGAACATTCTGATGGAGGGACGTGCTCAGAGTTGTGTCTCAGGATGCTCTGTCGCAGGACAGAGGGAGACCCACTGTGGTCCTGGCCGGAGAAGACAAAGGTCCAAACAGCTGCAGGTGAAGATGAGCAGATGTCCAGAATATTCAGGAAAGAGAGGAGAGGGCTTGTACAAGTAACTGAGGAGAGGCCCGACTTCTGCTCTCGGGCTGCCATGGTGATGGGTGAGCTGGTCCACACTGGGTTTGCATCCACATCTGACACGAGTCAATGGTCCTGTCCTCAGTCCCCACCCTTCCTCCAGCCCCACTCACCATGCTTATCCATTCCTTTCAAGGCTGTGCTGCCCTCTTTCCCCTGACCAGGGACTGGAATGAGCCAGTTCCCACAATGCAGAGAACTTTGATCTCTCAGGCCTCTGTTGGATCACAGGGGGTGGGGCTAGAACTTTACCTGCCCTTAGGGCTCCACCCAGGAATAGCTGCCTTTTCTATAGCCACCAAGACCATCTAAAAACCGGATGTCTCCCTACCTTCCCTCTTGGCTAGGCATTAAAGGGGAGAGAGGGGGTGGCTTTGGTTGCCAGTAGACTGGGTTCAATTCTCAGCTTTACCGCAGAAATGTAAGAACTATGAGACCTTCAGCAAGCTGTGTTGACCATGCTCTTCATCTGTAAAGTAGAGCTAGTCACACAGTCCGAGACTTCATCCAGCCTACAGAAAGCTTTCCCAGCATGATGTTTACTTGCATCATTATGTTCCCCTCCCCCCTTTCTGTCTTCTCTCAATCCTTCCTCACCCGGGCTCTCCATTCCTCTTCCAGCTCACTGCCTTAGCTCCAAGACACCAAGGAAATGCCTCTAAGTCCAGTAGGAAGCAGGGCCCAGGCAAGAGCCGGTGTCGCTCCCAGAAGTCATGGATGTGTGTGAGAGAACTGGGGCTGGGGGAGAGGATAAAATCATGGAGCCCCAGCAAAATCCCTTATTTCCCCAGCTATAACAGTGGCGTGTGTTGCCAGAGACAGGGCTCTGAAGATGCAAAGCCAGCTCCGCAGAGCCTCCATCTGATGGGGAAAAATGACTCAGTTGCTATCCAAGTCTGAGGGTAGAGGGAAGTGGGGTCTCTTCCTTAGGTGTCCCCCAGTTGGTGGAGGCCAGGGTGGTGGTGCGTGTAGAACAAGGAGCACAGAACAGCTCTCAGGGAATCTCCAGGTCACATGGGAGCCACCCTGTCAAGAACTGTAACATGTCCGAAATTTTACTCTTCTTGCGTGCTAGCTTATTAGCTTGCCGGGGTGTCATGGGTGTGCCAAAGAATAGGAGACTTCTGGATCAGAAACAAAGGACTTGATTCTTCATGGCACAGCAGCAGCAGCAGCAGCAAATCCACATCAGCACCGCCTGCCCATTGGCCCCTGGCTGCCATCAGGATGGGAGATGGCCTGTGAATGCCTGCCTGCGTGTAGTGGGGTGGGAGGCGGGGCGGTTTGCATTATAGGAGACGCTCTCAGTTTAGGAACACACAACTTTTATAATGGGCAGTAAACAAACCTGCTCTTTGCTCCAGAAGGAGCCGCAATCACTTTCCTCCAAGGATGTTCTTCCCTATATAAACACCCTGGAAAAGTCAGTGCCTCTATTTACTTGACAAGCAGAAATGCAAAAGACTCATGGAGAATTATCTGTCTGCAAACAAACCCATTCTCCTTACATCTACTCAAAGAGCTTGGAGCCACTATGGCTCTGGATGGCAATTCTAAAGTTCACTCTGGCTAATTTAAAGAGAAAGGATGGTGGGAGCCAACCGAATGGCCAGAAGACTTGGCAAGTGGACAGGAATGATAGAAGGCTGGTGATTGTAGACACAGCCAAGGTCCACCACAAGAACCATCCAGTTAAGAAACCACTGCAGGGGGCCACCCCTGGTCACTGGCACTGTGAACAACCCTCTTGAGTCACTACCTAGAATTTAATGTCCCATCCAAACCACTGAGCCTGGGTTGTGGCTTTTAGGAAGGATCCCACCAAGAAACACAAAAGGGTATTCCTCTGGTCTGGTCATTCATCTCACCCTGCCTCTCCCACTTTGATCTGCCCAAAAGCCCTTTGTCATCCTTAGGGTGTTTATTTGTTCTTTTTTTTTTTTCCATTCACTCTTTTCAGGGATATTTTGGGTTTTGTGGGACCTTCATTAAAAGTTGGGTTGTTGGGGATCCCTGGGTGGCTCAGCAGTTTAGCGCCTGCCTTCGGCCCAGGGCATGATCCTGGAGTCCTGGGATCGAGTCCCACATCGGGCTCCCTGCATGGAGCCTGCTTCTCCCTCTGCCTGTGTCTCTGCCTCTCTCTCTCCCTCTCTGTGTTTCTCATGAATAAATAAATAGAATCTTAAAAAAAAAAAAAGTTGGGTTGTCTTAACAAACAATACCAGCATGAAACCACATTGGAAATTGATCACAAAGTAGTAAACACTGTCTGCAGTGAAAACACAAGAACAGGTAATCCTACCACACCAGGAACATGCCTCCTGCTCTCAGATGCCACTTTGGAAGACTCCTTGAAAGGAGAGAAATTTAACTGATAATGAGCATGAATTCATGATTGGATTTGTATTCAAAAGAAACTGCTTAAAACCAGAAGAGAATGAGTTACATTTTATTGGCTATACAAGCATTATTTTCTACCATTCACAGAAATCTAGAGAACAAAATGAGATCAAGTGTCAAAAGTTATCTTTTTTTTTTTTTTTTTTTTTTTTTTTTTTTTTAAGTAGCCTCCATTCTGAGCCTGGAACCCAACATGGGGCTTGAACTCACAACCCTGAGATCAAGACTTGATCTGAGATCAAGAGTCAGATGCTTAACTGACTGAGCCACCCGGGTGCCCCTAAAGCTATAATTTTTGTACTTTTTTAGATTTTAATTTGTAAATTAATAGTGCATATAGCTCATTAACTTGTAATAACCAGGTATAATACAGAGATGCTGTATTCATTTTAATTGAGCAATAGTTAAGTTACAAGAAGAAATACCTAATATCATGGTATATAAGGGCTACCCAAGTGGGAGTATATATAACAAGACTTCATATAAAATGAATGGGGCCTCGGGATCCCTGGGTGGCGCAGCGGTTTGGCGCCTGCCTTTGGCCCAGGGCGCGATCCTGGAGACCCGGCATCGAATCCCACATCGGGCTCCCGGTGCATGGAGCCTGCTTCTCCTTCTGCCTGTGTCTCTGCCTCTCTCTCTCTCTGTATGACTATCGTAAAAAAAAAAAAAAAAAAAAAAAAAAAAAAAAAAAAAAAAAAAAAAAAAAAAAAAAAAAAAAGAATGGGGCCTCTTACTCTTTAAACATCATGTCAGTTAGGATATATTTAGTTGCTGGAATATGAGAGTGGCCCAATAATAATGGCTGAAACCTTATAAAATGTATTAGTTCACTTAAGAAGTCTGAGGTTGGAGGCTCCAGGATTGGTTCAGATTGAAGAGGTTGTTAGGGACCCAGGCATCTCTTCATATTTCCCTTCTGCCTTCTTTGTCTTTCTTCTTGGTTGCAAAATAGCTGCTGCAGCTCCAAGCATCATGTCCTGGTGCAACCATGACCAAAGCAGAAAGTCTCTGCAGTCCAGGGACTTCTTAGAAGCCCTCCAGCAGACTTCTCTTTGAGACTCACTGGATAGACACGAGATACACACCCATCCTAAACCAACCCTCTGAGAAAAGAAATAGGATGGCCAAGATTGACCTAGCTTGGCTGTAATTGGTACCTGTAGGACTCTTGGAGTATAGCTATAAAACAACCTCTTTTTTTTTTTTTTTTTTGCCTCCAATGGTCCCCTTAAACCTGCTCAAGGGGAAGAAAGCTTCTTTCCCTTGTCCCTTAAGGACAGTTCAGACAGGTCTTATGACTTGTTCAGAGAACTCTCAGGCCATGGAAAAGCAGTCACTGTAGTCACTGAAAGTTGATACAATGTTACATCTCCATGGAAGGTTGGGGCCTTCCATGACTGGTAGCAACAATGTGATGGGATGACAGGTGGAAGACACCGTCGGGTCCTTCCTCCCTCTTGCTCTGCCTCTCCTTCCTTCCCCACTGACCAACCACTGGTGTTTGCTTTTCCTGCCCCAATCCAGGCAGCCCTTGGATCTAGGAGGATAAACTAGATTCTAGGGGTCACTCATCCCCCCCACCCTGCACACCTAGGAATTTACTGGTCCACTGCCAGCTCCCCCTCTACTGAGGTCTTCCCCTCTACTGACCCTGTCCCTGGCCGAGTGGCACACAGGAGCACTCACCCATCCTCTGTTCCCCCTATGAGAAGACTGCTTCCTGATTCCAGGGCAGCCCTCTCTTTAGTCCCCACTATGGAGCAGCTAGCCAGCCTACAGTCTGCATTTTCGATGTCCCACACAGGAGTCAGACTTCAGGTCACTGAGTCTCCCTAGTGATTGGGGATAAACGTCTAGTTCTATGATAGGTCCCGTTGAAGCGCCTCTCCCCGCTTCTCCCCTTGTTTGGTGGGAGAGGAGAGAGATGGTGACAGGCATTAGTTTCCTATTGGTGCTGTAACAAATTACCACCAAATGCAGCGGCTTAAAACAACAGTTTTTCTTTTGCAGTTCTAAAGGTCAGAAGTCTGAAATGAACCTCACAGGAATAAAATCGAGGTATTGGCAGGGCTGGCTCTTTCTGGAGACTCCACGGGAGAATCTGCTCCTTGTTTCTTCCAACTTCTAGAGGCTGCAGGGTGCCTGGCTCGTGGCGCACTCAGTCTGCTTCAGCTGTCACATCTCCTAATCCGTGGTCAGACCACCCTCTGCCCCACACCTGTGATTACATTTAAGGTCCACCTGGACAATCTGGAGTATCTCCCCATCTTGAGATCCTTAACCACATCTGCAAAGTCCCTTTTGCCACATAAGGTGCCATTCATGGGTTCTGGGCATTAGGACGCAGCTGTCTCTGGGGCCATCATTTGGCCTGTCATGAGAGGCACAGCACAGCTACAATTCTAAGTCCTCTCCTGCCCTGCAACAACCTAACTCTTGACGTACTCCAGTGGGAGAGAGACCTGAGCGTCAAGTGACGGCTTTTGGATACTGCTTCCATAAAGTCTGCATAGTCTTGTTCCTTTTTTGGTTTGCTGCTTCCACAGCATCTTGGAGGCTCAACAGAAACCTCAACCTTAGCTCTGCTGTGATTGACATGAACCTATCGCAGTTCCTCTTCTGGGGCTGGGCCCATCTTCCCCAGTTTCAGGGAAGCTCATCCTACTACCTGAACGTAATAGGATTTTATTAGCTTGCAAGAAAAAAGAACTAGCTCTTCTGTACTGGGATAGGAAAGCTCCCAGTGATCCCTGGCTCCCAGTATTCGTGTTTGTACTGCCCTCCCTCGTGAAGTGAGGCCGACCTTGGTGACAATAGGATATTGTGGATATGACAGTGTGACTTACCAGGCTGGGTAATGATGACAGCGTGGCTTCTGTCTTGCTCTCTCACCCTGGGGAAGACTGGATGCCACTTGGCCAGGACACCCAAGAACCCTATGGAGAGGTCTGCATCGGAAGGAAGCAAGGCCTTCTGCCCTCTTCAATTTTCTTGTTCCCTCATCCATGAAATGGACATAAGAATCACGGTCTTGATGCCTTTCAAAAATAATTGAAAGAAAATTACCTTCTCAAAGGTAAAGAAAAGTACAGCATGATCTGGGTGTCCATTTCCTCTCTGCCTCATACCCTAGCTCTTCCTGCCATTCCCTGGATGATGCCAAGCACGTCCCTGCTTGGAGGTTTGGCACTGACTGCTCCCTCTACCCGAGTACCTTCCCCCGGATACCAGCTTGGCTTGCTTCCGCATTTCTCTCAGGCCTCCGTTCAAATATCACCACATCAGTGAGGCCTTCCCTTGACCACCTCACATAAAATTCTACACACTGTCCCATCTCCCTTAGTGCTATCACCATCTGACTTACTGGAGATGTATGTGTTGTCACCCGTCACCCAATCCCCACTAACATGTTTGCAGCCTCCATGAGGTCAGGCGCCTCACCTATTGCTCGATCTCTGATCTTTGGGCCTATAACAGTGCCTGGCACATAGGAGATCCTTACAGATATTTAATAAAGGAATGCATTGTGGCGGCCAGGGTGAGGTACTGCAGTTGACAGCCAACTCTAGAGGAATCCTGTGGTTCGTGGTTCGAGTGGGGGACGGAGCAGCTTCTCACAGGAAATGAGGATTATGGGGCCTAAACAGGGCTGTGGGAGAATCAGCGAGAGCTGGGACCCACCCAGTCCCGAGTGTGAGTGTGCCCGAGACTTTCCACCTACATCATTCCTTTACTCTCCACAGCACCCCATAGGTAGACATCATTCCCATTTTACAGTTGAGGAAAATAAGGCACAGAGAGGCAAGGTAGCATATGCAAGTAAAAGAAGGATACAGAGAAGGGTCCAGGGCTGAAGTCAGCTGTTCAGCTCTACCGCTGTGTCTCTATCATCCCCTTACAGTGCTCACTAAATACCAAGGGGCTCGGCAACCTTTGGCCCTGCTTTTCTCCCCCTCTCCCTGGAAGCCACGCCCTACAAGCCGGGGAGAGAAGCCAGCCCGGGTCTGTCCTCCAGCTCCATGAGGTCCCAGGGCAGACTCTGTGGGGCAGTCCTTGGCTGGCTGCCTCCAAGGGCTAAAGGGGAGTGTTTGTAGCAGCCCCGTCTCCTAGGAGAGGAGGGGAAAGCAGAGTGGAGAGGCTGACAGCAGGGCTAACTGCTGGCCGCCGGGGGGTGGGGGGCAGCCAGCTGGACCAGTCTAGAACTAGGGGAGAGAGAGCAGTGTCCTCACTGTCCATCTGTCCTGGGAGGTGGAGAACTCTGGGCAAACTGGGCAGCCCGAGAGTGAGGTCACTGCAGGGCCACCAAGTAGGGAAAGTTCTGGCAGGCACTGAGGAATGTGGGGGTGGCGGGGCCAGGCTGAAGCCAGCTGCAAGTAGCAGAGCCGGAAGTCCTGGGTGCTGGGAGAGGGGAAGGGGAACCTCTGAGTCAGGGAGAACCAGCCGAGGCCCAGCAGGTAGCCAGAGTGAAGATGCAGCACCAGGGGACAGGAGGCACCCACCCCCTCCCCGCTGAGGATCCAACCATGCCCCAGCCTGGGGGATGTAGGAGGAGGCCTGGGACCCTGGGGCCACCGGTGCGCAGCATCCGGCCCTTTAAGTCCAGCGAGCAGTACCTGGAAGCCATGAAGGAGGACCTGGCTGAGTGGCTTCGGGATCTCTACGGGCTGGACATCGACGCGGCCAACTTCCTGCAGGTCCTGGAGACAGGCCTGGTGCTGTGCCGGCATGCCAATGCCATCACTGAGGCTGCCCTGGCCTTCCTGACTGAGGCACCTGCTCGAGCCCAGAGGATTCCCCTGCCTCGGGCTGGGGTTTCCTGCAATGGGGCCGCCCAGCCGGGCACCTTCCAGGCCCGGGACAACGTCTCCAACTTCATCCAGTGGTGTCGAAAGGAGATGGGCATCCAAGGTAACCACCCTGCACCCCCTCCCCAGGCCCTTATCTTACCAGACATCCACTTCCTCTCTGAGGCTCAGGTTGCATTGGAAGTCAGGAGCCAGGATCCTCTTTCCTCTTTGGCTTTTGGCCAGCTCCTCTCTTTTCGTGCCTCAGTTTCCCCATCACACAGTAGATCTTCAATAAATACATGTGTTGATTGAATAAGTCATTCATTCAACCAACATACATTTAGTCCCTGTCTCTATCCCTAGCCCAGCACAAAGGACCCAGAGGACTGAGACCCAGTGCCCAAAGAGTCCATGGTCTAGGAAGAGAAACAGATGAATAGAGACACAAATTACAGCCCAAAGTGCTCAAAACCCCCCAAAAGAAGTGTATGTGTTGAGGAGACAGGGGAGGAAACAGGTGGAAAGTGGAGGCGAAGAAAGGCCACTCAGAGGAGGGAGATTTGAACTGAGTCCTGGGAAACAAATAGACATTTGGGGAAAGGGGATTCTAGGCAGGGCACAGCAGGGGCGAAGGCACAGAGAAGATACTGTGTTTGGACAACTAGGAGAAGCCAGAGTGGGTGAAGACACAGGGCTACAGGGGGTGGAGGGAGGATGGGGAGGCAGGCAAGTGGACATTAGGGAGGAGCCAGCTGTGCTGAGGCTTGTGAGGCACAGGGGAGTGTAGGCCAGGGCCCCTCATCTCCTAGGCCACTGAGCCTGGTGTCCACCCTGGTGCAGCTGGAGGAGGAGCTGTGGCAGGAGCTGGCCCTGCCTCCCCCCCAAGGTCCCTCACCTCTGAGGCTTAATGTGATGAAGCTGGGTGTTGTGCCATCCTCCAGACCAAAGGGTGTGTGGGGCGTAGCAGAGGCAAGAGTCAGGCCCGGCTGCTGGCTGGTGGCAAGGCAGTGCAGAGCAGGCTTGGAAGGTGGAGAAAAGCTAGCATCTTACCCAGCACTCCCCTTGGAGCCAGATCTTGTCTGCAGACACTTAACTGTCTTCACAGCAACCAGATGAAATAGTCTACACCCCACTTTACAGAGTAGGAGACTGAGGCTCAGGGAGTAGTCCAAGGACACACAGCTGCTGGGTGGGAGCATCGGGACCCTAAATCAGGCAGTCAGTCTCCAGAGCCTGTACTCAACCTTGCCTGGGTATCTGTGGGCTGAGGGTGGAGTTCCAGAAGTCCGCTGGATACTGGAGGTGAACTGTGTGGGTGGGAAGCGGAACAAACTGCTTCTTACTCCTAGACCCGTATTGTCCAACTGAGTAGGGAGAGGCTAACCCACAGCGGGGCTGCGGGCTCCTCTGCTTGGCTGTGTCACCTCTTCCCACTCCAACCTGTCTTGTTAGACGGGCCACCTAGTCTGCACCGTGTCTGCACAGTCTGTTCAGGCCCCTCCTAGGGGCTGGCCTGACTCCCAGATCCCGCGATCCCAGCCACCTCTCCCCACCCCCCCCCTCCACCCCCACCAGTGCTCCACCCGGGGCCAGGGATGACCCCAGGGCTCTCCCAGCTGCTCGGTTGGGCGGAGGTCAGGGGGGGGCTCAGGATGCCTGCCCCCCTTCCCCGCCTCCGCTTGCCAGAGGTGGTGATGTTCGAGACCGAGGACCTGGTGCGACGCAAGAACGTGAAGAACGTGGTGCTGTGCTTGCTGGAGCTGGGCCGCCGAGCCTGGCGCTTCGGCGTGGCGGCGCCCACCCTGGTGCGGCTGGAGGAGGAGATCGACGAGGAGCTGCGACAGGAGCTGGCCCTGCCCCCGCCGGACCCCCCGCCGCCCGAGCCCCCAGCGCGGCGGCCCTGTCACTTCCGCCACCTGGACCAGCTGGTGAGGGGCTCCGGACGCGCCCCCCCGGCCCCCGCACGCCCGGCGGGTGAGGGGCTCCGGCCCCGCCCCGCCCCGGCCCCGCCCCGGCCCCGCCCCCAGCCCCCGCACGCCCGGCGGGTGAGGGGCTCCGGCCCCGCCCCGGCCCCGCCCCCGGCCCCGCCCCCCCAGCCCCCGCGCCGATCGGAGCCACCCCCTTCTGCAGCCCCGCCCCGGCCCCGCCCCCTCCAACCCCCGCGCCGATCGGAGCCACCCCCTTCTGCAGCCCCGCCCCCGGCCCCCGTCCCCTCCAGCCTCCGGCCCCGCCCCCTCCAGCCTCCGGCCCCGCCCCCTCCAGCCCCCGCGCCGATCGGAGCCACCCCCTTCTGCAGCCCCGCCCCCGGCCCCGCCCCGCCCCCTCCAGCCCCCGCGCCGATCGGAGCCACCCCCTTCTGCAGCCCCGCCCCCGGCCCCGCCCCGGCCCCGCCCCCTCCAGCCCCCGCGCCGATCGGAGCCACCCCCTTCTGCAGCCCCGCCCCCGGCCCCGCCCCGGCCCCGCCCCCTCCAGCCCCCGCGCCGATCGGAGCCACCCCCTTCTGCAGCCCCGCCCCCACCCTGCCTGACTTCTCGGTGCGGCTCGGGCTTGGATTGAGTCGTGTTCCAGGGCGAGTCTCAATCCTCATCACAGGCCGTCCCAGCGGAGCTGCTCCCTACGTTTCTATTACAACCCCGCGCCCTACGCCTGTCTCGTGGGGGCCCCGCGGGAGGGCTTTTGGGCACATTCAATCCTAGTTCAATCCTGGTTCCACTACTCCGCCGCTCTGTGACTTGGGGCACTTTATCAGACCTCTCTGTGCCTCAGTTCCCCTATCCCTAGCGTGGAGGTGCGGCAGCCCCTACGTTCTGTGGCTGCCGAGTATTAACCCGGCCAGCGCCTGGGAGGTGCTCGAACAGGTCTGGCACGGAGGCGGCGCTTCATGGGAGCTATGGGAGCTAGCTCGTACTGGGATGAACACGTTTCTACTCCCCAGGAGTCGAGCTCAGGGAGGTTTCTTAACTTGCTCAAGGCCTCTGGTGCCGCGGAGGCAGGACTCCAGCCGAAGCCTGTCAGAGTCCAAGGCCCACCTTCTTCATCAGTACACCCCACTGCCTCCGTCAGCTGACCCCCCAACAAGGGCCCTGGACTCTAGGTGACCACCCAAGGTCTTGTTCTCACTGGGTCATTAAGAGCCTTCGGCACTTGCTTCTCAGCCTCCACCAGGACCTCAGCAGAAGGCTGGAGGCTGGCTCTAGGGACAGGCAGGCTCCCCCTCATTGGGTTTGACCCAGGGTGGGGGGTAGGGAGCTTGGGCACCTGCACAGAGAGAGGGCTGAGCCCCTTGTCACTGCCCACAGGTTCAGAGCCTCGTGAGTCACTGCACGTGCCCAGTTCAGTTCTCCATGATCAAAGTGTCTGAGGGGAAGTACCGTGTGGGGGACTCCAACACCCTCATCTTCATCCGGGTAAGTCTGCGGTGGGGAGTAGGGGTGTCCCCAGGATCAGCAGAATAGGGTTGCCTTTCATGGGACCTTGCCCAGGTGTCTCCATTCACCCCAACTTATCAGGCCTTGGGGCTTTCTAGCTCTCCCGTGAGGAATTCCCAGAAGATCGTTGGCAAAGTTGGCAGTCCCATCCCCTCCTCCCATTAGGGCAGCCAGAACACTGCCCCCATCTACTCTACCTTAGCCTAGCGCAGAGGGGTGTCCAGGCAGAAATAGAGTGTGAAGGCTACTCCTGAATTTCCTTTGCCTCCACTCCACCCACATGCTTGGTCAAAGCAAGGAGCCGGAGACCCCAGGTTTGTGTTTAGTGCTCAGCCCTGGCCACATGGGCCCACAGTTCACCTTCCACATGCCTGGCTTGGTACATCCTGCACAGTGAGCAGCACTATAGGTCTAAGATGTGCCTCTCGCTACCTGCCCCCTCGTACTTGGCCCAGATTGTACCCAGAGGCTTAGCCAGCAGCTCAAGGGCATGGCCAAGCCCTCTCCTTGATCACAGGCCATACCTGGGGGCAGAGCTCCCTGGGTCCTCACCCAAACCCCGAGCCAATAGCTCTGTGAAGTAGGTAGGGACAAGGAATTTCAACTGAGGAAATGGAAGCCTGGAGAGACTGTGACCTGCCTCCAGAATCCCAGAGTGGAGGTGACAGCACTCCCAGGATTCCTGAAAAGCCAGGGCCACTTTTTTTTTTTTTTGGAGAGAGAAAAGGGAGTGGGGGAGTGGGGGAGTGTGGGAGGGGGCAGTGTGCACAGGAGGAGAATCCCAAGCAGACTCTGAACTCAACACAGGTTCAGTCTTACAACCCTGAGATCGTGACTTGAGCCAAAATCAAGAGTCAGATGCTCAACTGACTGAGCCACCCAGGTGCCCCTGGGCCACGTTTCTGATACTAGGATGTACAGGTGAAAATCCCTTTACAGTGAAGGGAGAGAAGAGAGTGCTCTGGCATCAGGCTGCACAGTGCTTGTGCGATCACTTGTCTAGTTTGAGGCAACTCTGTTTGTCAGCCTGGCTGCCACTTTTGACAACATGTGCTATCAGATGCTAGTTGTGGAGGAGAGGCAGGCTGCAAAATACACCCCTCCCCCAACAATACACCCGTGCAAGGAGTACCTACCTATGTGCTCACGTGTGCATGGATGGGAGCGCCTGGTGGAAAACTGCAGGCTGCTCCAGGAAGAAGGGACACTCTCCATCCCACCCTCAACCTCATCCTTGCCCCCTACAGATCCTCAGGACCCACGTGATGGTGCGTGTGGGAGGAGGCTGGGACACACTCAGCCATTATCTGGACAAACATGACCCCTGCCGGTGCACGTCCCTCTGTGAGTCCTGAGAGTCCCTTCCCCATGGCTCTGGGTCAGGAGGCCAGAAGCAGAGGTAGGAGGCAGGTCTGATCTCCAGGGGCAAGAAGTATGTGGGGATGGAGGAAGAAAGATACTATAGAAGGTACTGGTGCAAAAAAGAAAAAAAAAAAAGGAGGAAGTACTGGTAATGATGCCCTCAGAAGCCTGAAGGAAGCCATGTAGCCATTGTGCAATACCAATTACAGCCACAAGATGACGCCAAACACACAGAATCAGCATTTGGTCAGGGTGCCTCTGGGCAGGGTCTTCGTTCCGGCTCTAATGTCCATAGTAGTGCCACCAAGTATGACTTGGAGGGGTCTTTAGTCCTCTCATAATCTCTGTTAGCATCTCAAGCTACCCCAAATAAGCATGCAATCTAAGTAGAAGATGTGAACTTGCAATGCAAGTTAAGTGCAGCCTTAAATGAGTCCCCACGCAGGGCCCTCTGATCAGATTTCATCCCCTGAGCCACTATGAGGAAGTTCTGGTACTGCCACTGTAGGTCCTACCATCTCTAATGAGGGTTTGGGGCATGAGACAGCTAGGGGAGGACAACACTGGGCCCCATCGGCAGGAATTTAACCCTTTCCTCTCGCTTCTCTCTGGGGGGGCTATGTTGGTAGCACACAAGACGGGTAGTTTCCAGAAGCCTCCTGCCCCACTGGTGCAGCACGAAGTGAGGGTGCAGGATGGGCCCTCGCAGCCCCAACCTTGGATGACTATCAGCCGTTCCCAGAGCCCGCTGCCCCCTGTGGACTGGAAGACATACACCTCTTCAGGCCGGAAGCTGAGGCCCCCCACCTCCTCCTCCCCTAGAGCGCACAGTGAACGGGGAGGAGCAGATGCAGGAGTCCCCAGACACACAGCACCATTCCTGAGGTACAAGGGGGAGGGGCAGAGCAGGGTCTCTTTCTTCTTTGGAATCCACCTTCTCAGAGGCCGCCCCACCCTAAGAGAAGCAGGTGTCCTGGCAGTGCTCCTGCCCCAGGTGTTCAGAACCAAAACGACACGCATGCATGGGAGGTGTATGGGGATCATCCAGCTTTTTCATATGCCTTCCCATTTCACAGCTGAAGAAGCTGAGGCCCATAAAGGCCCATAAAGATTTCCCAAGGACTTTCTGCCATTTCACAGTAGAACAGACGGGTGACCCGTAGCTCTGGGACCTGAAGTAACCCAGCGTCCAAACCAGGCTTCTATCTGCTACACAGGGAATGAGAGAGAGTAAACGTAAACAGCATCTGTCATAAGGAGGACTCGGGCACGCACAGAGGGACAAGGGAGCATCTGTTACATTCAGCACGAAGCCTGGCCCTCTTGGTGTTGTGGCTGGGGAGAGGTCATCCCTTCCCAGAGCCAGGAGACTGCACTAGATGATCCTTCCAGCCTTGTGATTCTCTCTTTTAGGTGCCAGGAGAAGCCACCCACCCCATCTTGGAGGCAGCTTCCAGCTGGGGACAGCCCACCCAGCCCCCAATCTTCATCCCCCCGTGGGGGCCGAGACCCACAGTGCACCTCCTCAGGGAAGAGGGAGGAGAGATACTCGTCTGAACATCCTAGAGGAAGGACTCCCACATCTTGGATTCACGAGGAAACAGACAGCCAGGGAAGTTACACCAGGGCCTACACCCCCCAGAGATTCCAAGCCCCCAAAGCCACTGCCAAAAGGACACCAGCAAGAGGACTATCTCCACTGCCTCGTTCCTCCAGCCCAGCTAGGACCATGGGCCTCAGGCCACCAACCAGGGGTGAGGCTGAGGGTGCTTCTTCCCAGCCCAGGAAGCCAGCAGCTGTCCGATCTCTGTCCCCTGTTAAAGGGTCCACCAAGATCCCTGTCAGGCCACCCCCTGCCTGCCCCCCCACTCCAGGAAGCAGCTTTCCAGGTATTGCAAGTGGAGGTCCTATGACAGAATTGGGGAGTGGCCCCATTCCAAGGGCTGTCACTGGGGACCTGGCTGGGTGTAGACAAGGGGACTTCTCTGTGGATGCAAGACAAGGGGACCAGAAGCTGGACACCCAGGTGACAGCAAAAGCTGGGGAGCCCGGGGGCCTGGGCCCACAGGAGTGGGAGAGGCGATATCCTCCCCTTCCCCTGGGTGGAACCAAGGATCAAGCTATCTACCATAGTCCCGAGGAGGAGCTTTTGACCAACATGAAGCTGCTAGAGGTGGCGGGTGCCTGCCCCGAGGGCACAGGGTCTGGAGTGGAGTCTCCAGAAGTCATCCCTCGAAGTGGAGTCTATGTCCCCAGCCTAGGTGGGCGGTGGCCTGAGCCTGGGGGTCCTTATGACAAAGTCATCCAAGAACTGGCTCAGGGACCCCCGCCCCTCCTTAAAGTGGACGTGGGAGCCTGGAAGGTAGCCTCTACGGGCTCCCCTAAACTAGCTGCCACAACAGACTCAGGAAGCCCAAAAGGGAAAGTGGGAGCCAGAGAGCTCAGTGGGGTAAAGGTAAAGGTGAACCTGAGTGCCAAGGAGACCAGGATGAAGAAGGTACCAGGTCAAGGAAGACAGGACTGCTTAGCCCCTACTGTGTCTGCTAGCCTGGAAGCCCCCACACCTTCACCCTCAGACCCCAATTCTGACAAAACCCAGGCATGTCCAGGCAAGGGCAAGAGAACACTCCGGAAGCCCCAGAGAGTTCCATCCATCTACAAGCTGAAGCTGAGGCCCAGAATCCGGCCCCGGAGAGACCACAGGCCTGGGAAACAGCCTTCACGCATCCCCAAGCCACTGGCCTACTTCCCCCTGGGTGCCAGGGCACCCCCCAGTGGCAGGCTGGTGAGAGCAGCATTGGGCAAGGCAGCCCCGGTGGCTGGAACCTCAGCAGGGGAAGAGGAGGAAGGAAAGAAGAGGAAAGAACCGGCTGCCCCACTGAAGAGCAGTCCCCAGCCTTTGGAGAATGCTGGTCTCCAGCAGTGGGATCAAGCTCAACTCCCACCAGAGGAGGAGTCCTGGGTCTGAGGAGGAGGCTTCTCAGCCCCGAGCCTGTGAGTCTGGGGGAGAAGGGAAGTGAAAAGGATGCCATGTGTCCACTGGACTCCCAGCTACCAGAACAGCTCTCTCCAGGGCTATGGTGGGGGTGAGGGTGTGGGTGGGGGCAGAAGACAAATACAGGTTCAGTCTGCTTCTCGGGCAAAGGGGCGACCCTTCACTCCCACTCCAACTCTAGGGCCACCCTAGGGGTCTTCTTGCCTTCCCCCAGAGCAGCTCCTCAAATTCCTGGCCTCCGGCCATGGCCACCATTTCCACAACTCTTCTTAACTTATTAAATATTTGTCGGGCAGCCCGGGTGGCTTAGCGGTTTAGCGCTGCCTTCAGCCCAGGGCCTGATCCTGGAGACCTCGGATCGAGTCCCACGTCAGGCTCCCTGCAGGGAGCCTGCTTCTGCCTGTCTCTGCCTCTCTCTTTCTCTGTGTCTCTCATGAATATCTACATTTTGGAAAACTGTCCCTCGATGTTGCCACACAACACAATAATTGAAAACCACTGCCTGGGACGCCTGGGTGGCTCAGCGGTTAAGCGCCTGCCTTTGACTCCTGGGGTCCCGGGATGGAGCCTGCTTCCCCCTCTGCCTGTGTGTATGTGTCTCATGAATAAATAAAATCTTAAAAAAATATATATTTGTGGGTCTGTCCCTGAGCCCCAAGCTTCTTGAGTCCCTCACTCTAGGATTTTAGTGGTGCAGGAAGATACAGCTTCAAGCGTTACCTGCTGAAGTGGAAGAGGATATGGGCCAGGGAGCTGGGGGTGAAGAGGTTTCCTCTCTGGAGGCTCAGCCAACTTTGCCAAGAAAGCCGCTCTCTCCAGGAAGCTGCTGCTGCGTCAGCACCAAGGACAGGGACACACAGGCCTTCGGGACTTCAAAGCTTTTGCTCTGGGTTTTGGGAACTGAGATCACTCGGAGTCAGGAAGGATGGCGGAGAGTGTTCTTATCACATCTACAGCCACGAAGGGGACCGGAGAGGCTCAGCCACAAGTGGGAACAAAGACACAGCCGCAGCAGCAGGGGGAGGGGGGTTTGAGACGAGTTACGTAAGTTTTCCTCAGAGTGGCAGGGGAGGCCTTTCACTTCCCCTCGGGATGGTTTTGATCGGTGTGGGAGGGCTGGAGGGGGAGGGGGCCAGGTGGAGAGGTGAGTCCCAAACTCCTCTTAGCCTCCTGGCTGCCCCAGGCTCTGGGACTCAGAGCAACCTCATCACCCTGCCGGTCCTCTGGTCCGTCGGCAGCAGAGCTCAGCAGGCCGGCGGGCCCTGTAGGGAGTCCTTTCCCTTCCAGGGCAGGAACGGAGCCAACCAATGCCTTGTACAGAAACAAGGGAAAACACTCCCTGATTTTTAATCTGACTTCCGATCACAGCGCAATGGGCATCATACACACTTCCAGACCCCTGTGGTGGGAAACCCTGGGGGGTGGGGGGGTGGGGAGGACAGAGACTCAGAATGGGTGTGGAAGGAATCAAACTCAAATACTTGGAGTGCAGTGCAGGGGGCGAGGGGGGCCGGCCAGGCGATACATTCCAATGGCTCCCACAAGGGGCAGCCGGAGGCCTGGGTCCCCCATGCCCACCTCAGGTGCCTCAGCTGGGGGTGACAGTGATGGGGGCAGGTGAGATGCTGCCATCCCTCACCCCATCCATCCCCCTGGTGAACCAGGGGGGCTGGGATGCAGGGGATAAAAGGAGGCAGGCCCTCTTCCTTACCCTCCCACCCACTCCAAGGTGTGGGGAAGGGGAGCCACCTCCTCTGTTTCAGAGGGAGACTCAGAGAGGGCGAGTCACTTGCCCAAAGTCATGCAGCACAGCAGGGTAGAACCCAGGAATACTGGACTGCCCAAGCTCAGGGCAGTCACTGCAGGGCTGTGCTACACCCCACGGGTGGAGGGAGAATCAGGTGGGGAAGTGGAAGGGAGAATCAGATTCCTCTCACACTGGATCTGGATAAATTCCCTACCGATGGCCCCCTTCCCCAGACTCTGCTCCATCACCACTCTGGGCTACCTGATTTTCTGGTCTACACACTGCAGCTTGGCTACATCAAGGCTGGGTTGGTTGGTTGTCTGCCCCTCTTCTAACAAGGGACCTTCCTATCCTCCCACCACACCAGGACTCAGCCTCAAGGAGAACTCAGCCCAGGTTGGGGGGGGGGGGCACGGGACCGCACCATTGCTCACACCCTCCAAGTACCCCAGTAATCCCTCAGGCCACTCCTAGTATCTTCATGGATTTTGTTATTTCTAAATCGGTACAAAACTGACAGTGATCAGCTCCGGTGACGAGAGGTAGAAACTGGCCAGACAGCCAGAGAAAATGGGGTGGAGTGAGTCAGGGCATAGGGCCAACTGGTGTTGGGACAAGAGGGCATCAGATCCTGAGGGCCTCTATCTAGGGGTGGGGATGTGGGCATATCTCCCCCAAGCACAAAGGTCCCCATAATTCTTTACCTGGCTCTGTCCCTCCTCAGATTTATCAGAGAAATCTGAGATTCAAGGCAGGCAGGGTCTGGGGAAGTCAGATTGGAGTGGGATGGGCAGATAAGAGTGTTCAGTAGCACAACCTAACCACCCCCCCACCCCAGGGCACCATCTTGCCCACCACCAGCCCCCCAAACCCAACATCCCCTAATCTTGCAGACCACCCAACGCAGGAGGGAATAGAGGGCTGGAACCTGACATCGTGGAAATAAATTTATCCTTTGGGGGATTCCCTCTCCACATTGTGTCAAGAAAAAAAAAAAAGTTTTAACCCAGGGGGGTGATCTGGCTGTGGGGTGAGGAAGGGGATGAGGGGCACCCGGCAGGGACGGACCATCGAGTTAAGGCTGGAAGGTAGGTTGTTGTGTCTCTGGGGGCTGCTGGGCGGGGAGATCTCCCTGGAAGGGGGAGAGCTCAGCCTTCTCCTCCTGACTGACCTGGGACCTCAACCCTAGGACCCTGATGATGGTCCTTGGGCCACCCACATCTCTGCCCTGTGCCGGTGGTGTTGACGGTCCAAAGGCTGGCCTCACAGAGAAGCTGCCAGGATCTGCGATGAGGGGATGAACGAAATGAGAGCCCTGTGAACGGAGCTGGGGGCGGGAGGGTGGACCGGAGGGTGGAGGAGACCGACAGCTAAGGACCAACAGACGCTTGGGCAGACAGACACGGGGACAGACACACTCTCTGGAGAACACGAACACGGGGGGGGGGGAGGGGGGACCAAGGCAGCACCTCCCCGCCCCCGCGCCCCCCCACCCCCCACCGTCCCAATAGGCCGCAGAGCCCTGCCCTTCTCCCTGCCCTTCGGGGCCCTGCGCTAGCTGCAGCCCAAGGGAAGGGCGGCGCCCGGGAGGACCCCGGGGGGAGGGGCGGGGCGGGGTGGGCGGGCATCGGAGGCTCCCCGGCCCTCCGCCCCTCCCCGCCCCGCCCCGCCCCCGCCAGCCCGCAGTCCCGGGGAGCGCCCCTGCCCGGCCGTCACATGATGGCGCAGCGGTTGCGGCGCAGCGCGCCCTGGAAGCGCAGGGCGGCGTGCACGTGCTTGCAGCGGGCGCAGCCGACGCTCTTGAGCAGCTCGCTGAAGAGCAGCAGGATGTGCCAGTTGTACTTGGCCGAGCACTCCACGTAGCCGCACTTCCAGGTCTTGCGCACCAGGTGCGACACGTTCCAGCGCGGGATCACGCGGCCGCGCTGCAGGTCCCGCTTGTTGCCCACGATGATGATGGGCGTCTCCGAGGTGCCGATGACCCTGCGGGCCGGGTGGGGGGAATCTCAGAACCCCGCAGTCGGGTCTCACCAGCCCTCACTTCAAGAAGGGCAGGCTGTGCCTCGCCGGTACTGCTCCGGGCAAGCGCTCAGCCCCCGCGGCACCTGATATTCTCTGATCAGAACAACTGGTCTGTGGGACCCCTGGGTGGCTCAGTGGTTGGGCGTCTGCCTTCAGCTCTGGGCATGAGGCTGGGGTCCCGGGATCGAGTCCCACATCAGGGCCCCTGCATGGAGCCCGCTTCTCCCTCTGCCTGCGTCTCTCTCATGAGTAAACAAACAAAATCTTAAAAACAACAACAACACTGGTCTAAAATGTGGTACTGGGCAGCCCCGGTGGCGCAGCGGTTTAGCGCCGCCTGCAGCCCAGGGCGTGATCCTGGAGACCCTGGATGGAGTCCCACGTCGGGCTCCCTGCATGGTGCCTGCTTCTCCCTCTGCCTGTGTCTCTGCCTCTCTGTGTCTCTATGAATAAATAAATAAAATCTTTAAAAAAATAAAATGTGGTACTATTATTGTCCCCATTTTACAGAGGAGGACACTGAGGCTTGCCTGTTAACTGGCTTAAAGTGATGTGGATGAGTGGCCCTGAGCCTGTGCTCCTAACCACTGCAGTAGACTAGCCACCCCATGGTAAGGATCCCAAAGTGGGTTATTAGAAATGGGGAGAGTAACATGGTGTGCATGTTTGAATATATGTGCAGGAACCAGAGGGTACCTCACCAATGCCCCCCTTCCCAATCTGGTATACTTTCTGCGGGAAGTGGTTAGTCCTGGGGCACCCACTGAGGTGATAACGGGCCATATCCTGGCTCCTCACCTCGTCTCTAGGATCTGTTGGCGGATGGTCTTGACGTACTCAAAGCTGTCAAAGCAGCAGATGTCGTAGACCAGGATATAGGCGTGGACGCTCCGGAGTCCCCTGCAACAGGCGTCTGCCCACTCCTGCAACACCCCCAGCCAGTGCCAAGGTCAGAGCCATCCTGAGGGCTCCCCTTGCCCCCAGCCACCTCCAGCGGGAGACTGACACCTGCCCCCGCACCCCAAGCCTCCTACACCCACCCCCCTCCCCAGGAAGCCTGGCCCAGAGCTGAAAGGAGGAGCTCAGTGCTGCGGCTCCTGCACCTCCCAGCCAGGCTAGGGCGGATCACCCTGCCTGACCTTCAGAGCCAATGCACTCACTGTCCTGTGCACCTCTGGAGCAGAGATCTGCCTTGTCCCATTTTATTACCCAAACCATTCATTTATTCATCTGACCACTGGGACCTTTGTTCAAATGCAGTTATAAATGCCTGCCTCTAAGAGCCAAGCCCTCTGACCTAGTTGTGGAATCTGCTGACATCCTCTGTCTTCAAGTTTAAATGCTTCCTCCTCCTCCAAGAAGCCTTCCTGCAAGCAGGGGACTACTCCCTTCCTCTCCTGTGTTCTAAGAACCCTTGGGCTATACCTTGGTTAGAGCTGTTTTCATCCCCAGGTCCCTGGTTCTGTTGTGAGCTCCTGGGTGGGTCAGAGCCAGGCCTTCCTCAGGTTTACATACCTCCTTCTCTTCCCCACTCAGTGCCTCCCTACTGTGTTGGCCTTTAGCAGGCTCTTTAACTGTGCTACCCAGGCTAGTCTTGAACCTCACTTGTTCCATGTGGGATCATTGCAACACCTGCCTGTGACACTGCCCTTAAATTGCTACCCAAATTGCCCCTTCTGTTTGCTCCACACTGCCCTCAGGGTTGAGAAGAAGGCCAGAGAAAAAGATTGCAACTGGATGCATAGTGGGGGCCGGTGTGGAACAGGGCTCAAGGGCAGCTCCAGGGAGAAAGGGCTTCCTGAATGCTTATGGCAAATTCTCAGGGAAAGGCTGAGTGTACTCAAGAGAAGGTTTCTTAAGAGATTAATTAGCTGATTAACCTTCCAGCAGCTGGCAAACGCAAGAGCAGTTGAAGGCAGCTGGTGTGTTGAAAGAAGGGGTCGCTGAAGTTGGGGATGGTGGAGGTTTCCAAGGACAGAGGGAACCAGGGTCTTCTCCCCTGAGGACCTGAGGCAAAAAACATGGAGGAGCTGCTGCCAACTTATGAGCTGCACTGGGGCAGGGGCCAGGCTTGGAGGACCACAGCTGCTTCTCCACCTCAGTGCAGGAATAAAGGAGGAAAGACTCCAGTGGCAGCGGTGGTCAGGCTGGCTCCAGAAAAGCACTTCCCAGCTGAAAGACTTAGAAGCTACCGCAGTGGATTTCCCCGGGGAGATGATGTGGCATCTTTTCTTCGTGCTGAGTTTTAACTTTGGTGCAGGGGAAAGATGCTGGGGGCAAATTTAAAATTGTCGGGAACCAGGGGCTGGCTTCTCAGCCCAGGGAGGACTACACTCCACCAGATGCAGCCAGCGCCCTCTGGGAGCCTGGGACCCCTTTGTGCACAGAGCTCCTCCCCCAACCCACACAAGGAGCAGAGATCAGCAGGGAGTGGGAGGGATGGGGAGAGAGGCACAGAGGCTCCCCAAGTCTTCCAGCTCTCTGCTGGGGAGAGGGGACAGCTGCCAGCCCTTGAGGGCGACAGCCCCACCTTCCCCCCAACATGCTGCCTCCTCCAGGGGACCTCCAGGCTACCTTCCCTCCACTGCTCTCTGGAGGCTCCTAAGAGGGAGAGGGGGAAGGTTCCTGATTGTCGGGATTGTGCCTTCACCCCTGATTGAAGGGAGGGAGCAAGAAAGCTCAGCTTGCCTTCCAGCTAGCTCCGTGCAGAGTTCCATACTGCAAGAAACCACCTTGGGGCTGTGTCAAGACAGAGAAGGAGCCGTGGAAACTGAGTCCAGTTCTGAGGACATGGGGGAGTGGAGGGAGGCTCAGCCACCTGGGGGCCAACCCTGCATTTGTTGCTTGTTTCTCTAAGCCCAGCTTCCTCTGACAGGAGAGGAGCTGTAGAGGGAGCGGCAGGGGCTCAGACCACCCTCCCAGGCTGCATCTCAGCTGGCATTGGGAGGAGTGTATTTCTCTTTTCAGACAGTGGCCACTGAGATTCTTAGCTTTTATATTTGATCTTTGGGGATGCAGGGTCCTGTCTCAATACGTCTCTACTCAAAGTCCAGGAGTGAAGTCCTGGACGTCCAGGAGAGTCTAACACTCAGGATCAATCAGGAAGTAAAAGGGCAACAACCCAACAGAAAGATGGACAAAGGCATTAATAGTTGTGAGAAAAATAAATGCATAAGCCCTTAAACCTATGAAAAGATGCTCAGCTGCAGTCATAATCAGAGAGGCAAACCAAAACTACACTGAGGATACCATCTTTTATCAGATTGTCAAAACTCCAAAAGTTGGACAATACACTCTGATGGAAAGGCTTTAGGGAAACAAGAACTCACGTCTGGTCCTTGAGACAACACAAAACATGCAACTTCCTAGAAAGGGAGGGAAATCTCCCCTTCCAAATCCAGCCGCATTCATCCTTTGACCTAGCAATGCCATTTCTGGGGCTAGATTTTACAGATACGCCTCCCTGTGTGCAGAGAGACTATGGACAAGGCTATCGGTGTGCCGTGGCTCAAGACAGCAAAAATCTGGAAACAATCCACTTGTTCAACAAGAGGGGACTCCATGGAACATCTCTCCAGTGGGTACAGCATAGCCATGCTACTGACAATCAAATACTAACACTCAGGGAAGATCTCTAGGTCATAATCTAAAGCAAAAAGACCAGGTGTACAACAATTATTTTTCTTCTGTAAGAAAGGGAGTGGAATAGAACACATTTTCTTATTTGTCTAAAGAAACTGAAAGTGTGGGAGGGAGCACCTGGGTGGCTCAGTGGTTGAGCATCTGCCTTCAGCTCAGGTCATGATCCTGGGGTCCTGAGATCAAGTTCCTTATTGGGCTCCCTGTAGGGAGCCTGCTTCTCCCTCTGCCTATGCCTCTCTCTGTGTCTCTCATGAAGAAAACAAGAAAGAGAAAGAAAGAGAAAGAAAAGAAAAGAAAGAAAAGAAAAGAAAAAAAGAAAAAGAAAAAGAAAAGGGAAGAAAAAAGAGGGTAAAAAAAAAAAAAAAGAAAAGAAAAGAAAAAAGAGGGCAGCCCTGGTGGCACAACGGTTTAGCGGCTGCCTGCAGCCAAGGGCGTGATCCTGGAGACCCTGGGTCGAGTCCCACGTCTGGCTCTCTGCGTGGAGCCTGCTTCTCCCTCTGCCTCTCTCTCTCTGCATCTCTATGAATAAATAAAAAAAATCTTAAAAAAAAAGAAAGAAAAGAAAGAGAGAGAGAGAAAGGAAGGAAGGAAGAAAAGGAATAGAAAGAAAAGAAAGAAAGAAAAAAATAAATTGGAAGTGTGAATAAAAAACCATGAGGATGGCCATAGAGTGTGGGGCAAGAATCAGGGTGAAGAGGGCAGGGGCAGGACTGGGATTTCTCTGGGTAACCTTTTACAGTTTGGACCTTTTTTTTTTTTTTTAACAAAGTTTTTGGATTTTTAAACTGCGTCTTACCTATTCTAAAATTAAAATTAAATTAAAATTAGGGCAGCCCAGGTGGCTCAGCGGTTTACCACCGCCTTCAGCCCAGGGCGTGATCCTGGAGACCGGGGATGGAGTCCTAAGTCAGGCTCCCTGCATGGAGCCTGCTTCTCCCTCTGCCTGTGTCTCTGCTTCTCTCTTTCATGTCTCTCATGAATAAATAAAATCTTAAAAAAAAAATAAAATTAAATTAAATCTACAACAAAATGTGAAAAAATAAGCAAAGATCAATGTGCAAGACTAGGATGAGATTTGCATATCCATTTGGGCTGCTGTTCAAGTCTCCTGTGGAGGAGAACCACAGGCCCTGGCTCTGGACACACTGCCCTCTGACCTCACTGTTGCCAAGGGGCAGATGTGTGGATCAGGCTTTTGTCTTTGGTGTTGATCTCCCACACCTGGGATGGGACAGACAAGTATCCCAAGACTTGGGCCAGGGTCATCCTGCCTAGAGTTTCTGAGACAGTGCTGAGCCTGAGCCCCTGCACCAGACACTGATGGATCTATGGTCACAACTGGCCACGCTATGGCCCCCATCTGTCCTTCCAGAGAAACCTCTGAACACCTGGTTAGGGGCTTCCTTAGGTGAGCAACTGTGTCTTAAGAGTCGAGCCTCTGCTGGCACCCCATCCCCTGCCAGGCCAGAGGTAGAGGGGAGGAGGATCTGGTCCCTATAGCTGGGGGAAGGAGCACCACAAGCCATGGCACTGGGGGCATCTGAATCCAATCCCTGCAGGAAGGGTGCCCAGTGGGCTAGCCCTGAGGTCAAGGGGCAGAGCATCACTTAAAGAAAGGCCTTTGGACAAAAGACTGATTGGGGCCTCCAGTCTCTGAGAACACACCTTTCTCCGGCCCTGGCTTTTTCTTCTGCTGTCCCTTCTATAGGCGCCATGGGTGTGACCGTGAGTTAGCTCCTTGAGAGCCACCTGCACATCTGTTTTGCACGCCATTCCATCCTGGTCCCACCCACCACACATTGAATGCTCATTAAATATGTGTTGAATAAAGCAGCACACAAACAATGGCTCTGAGCAGAGTGGCCCATGGTGTGGCACGGAGCCTTTGGAACCCTGGGATGGGGACAGCGCTGGAGCCTAGAAAGGGTGGGAGTCCAGCTTCTCCCCCACGCCTCCGCTCCCCTCCCCGGCCGGCCCTCCAGTGGGCCCTCCTACCTGCAGCGTGTTGACAGGGAAGGTGCTGATGGGCGGGAAGTCGAGGATCTGGAGGTCGTGCACGTGGCCGTTCATGACGACAGCAGGCAGGTAGAGGCGTCGGGCGGTGGTGGGCACGCAGGCCTCGCTGAACTCGTTGTACAGGAACTGGCGCACGATGGCACTTTTGCCCACGCCTCGAGCCCCCAGCACGGCCACCCGGTAGGTGGAGACCATGCCTCCCGCCCCGTTCCGCCACCGCGTCCTCGCCGCTGCCTGGGGCTCCCCTGGGCTGCATATTCCAGGGGCTGGGGGCTCAGCCACCGTCAGGACCCACCATTGCTGCCCCTGCTTGCCCTGGGCCCTCTGCGGCCTCCACCTGGACTGTGGAGACAAGAGGTGGGCTTGGTGGGCCTGCTTTTCTCTGGATCTGTCCTATACCTCCCCACCTTGGGGACTTGGCTGAAGCTGTCACTACCCCCTTGGCATGCCTTTCCTTTCCCAGGACATCCAGCTCCAGCTGTCCAGAGTCCCTCCAACCTCCCTTCTCCTTTCCTTCCCCTCTCCCCCTTTGCCCCCGCAAAGTGGGAATCGCTCTTTCCTGTATTATGGCCTGACTTTTCGTCAGGTCTGACCCCCACCCCCCAGCCAAGGCAGGCTGCAGAGCAGAGTGGGAAGCACACTAGATTTGTTCCAACTCAAGCTTTCACACAGAGCCCTGGGCGGGGGCGGAGGAGCCAAGTCCAGTGTGTCTCAAAGGAGGCACTCCCAGCATTTTGAGGAGAGAGTTCTTTATCTGGCAGGATATTTTACATCCCTGCTGCCAGGAGGTACCTGCCAGCAGCAGAGTCTGGTCACTACTACGATGACCAAAAACACCTCGTTTCCAAATACCCCCCCCTCCCCAGGTTGAGAACCCTGGACCAGATGACCACTTTGGCTCTGAAGCATACCACTTGTTGAGCACAAAATGTTAGCATTCCCACGTGGTTAGCCACAGTCAATACAGTATCCCTCAAGGATAGTAGGTATTTCCACTCGAGAGAAGACTCGGGAGGGACACGGCTGGCAAGAGCAGCGACTCCTATAACACTGCAGTACCTCTGACCCCCAAGTGTAGTGATTCTAGCTGGTGACTGCCTCCAGGCCAAGGGCTGTGTCTCATCGCCTGACCTCAGAGGGCCTGGCACACAGCAGGTGCCGAGGAAAGGGCTGCCACAGGGTTGGACTTTGCTGCGGGTCCATCACCTCCTTGCTCGCTCAGTTTGAGTGACTCTAGAGTTTAGGTATAAGCCCCAGCTATGATGATTCCTAGCTGTGGTCAGTGGGCCCACCACCTGCCCAATCTGAGCTATGCTCTGCATATATAAGGTGGGTAATTAACCCCTATTTCTGAGATAATCCAAGAAAACCTCCTAACCACTGCCTTCTCCTTTTGTTGGGGATGGTGACCAGGGAGGCTAGTACATGCCTGAGACTTCCTGTCCAGGGACTGTTCGCAGGAGGGTGACAACAGTGCCTACTACGTGGGCCCAGGGCAGATGGGTTTGCTGGATTCAGACAGGGCCACGCTTTCGTGTGTGTCTTCTCTTTGGATGCATGTTCTTTCCATATGTGCACAGTTCACAGCTGAATGGCCTTCAGTCTGGCCTGGCTCAGAAAATCCAATCCATGGGGTAGGTGTACATACAGCATAGTAAAACCCAGGGCAGGGTCTGAGATGAGACCCACCAAGGTCAGATTCCCAGCTCTGCCACCTAAAGTGTGGCCTTAGGCAAGACACTTTATAGGGTGTTGTGACGCCATCAAAGAGATGTCATGAGAGTATAGCCCAGTGCCCACAACAGTAGGTGTTCAATTAACAGTGGCCACTGTTAGGTACAGGGGTCCTTTGTCCATCTAAGGTCTTGTAAAATTTCAATGGGACTCCTAGCAATCCCAGGATGGGTCTTATCCACTGTTGCTCACCTACATGCAGTGTGGTGTGTATGCGTGTGTATATGAGACAGAGAGAGAGAGAGAGAGAGAGAGAGACTCTTCTCCCTGTTTTATTGAAGGTAAAACCGAAACCCAAAATCAGAGACTGAGAGAAGTGGAGACCACAGAGCCAGCTGAGCTATCAACTAAGACTAGGACCCTGGTTTCCTTTCTGCCGCACGTGGTGTCCTTTCCCCAACAGGTGTTTATCCACTTCTATGGGCTTCCCACTGGGGTAAAGACTGTTCCCTCCTCCCCATAAATTCCTGCAGGCCCCAGCCCCCTCGGGCATCCCTGGACACTGGCAGCTTGGCGGGGAGCCTCAGCTGGGTTAATTACATAACCAGCACAAGCAGGTGGAGAGGAAGAGAGGGCAAGGAATGCAAGAAGAGCCCCCCACGTCTCTCTGGGTGTGTCAGCTTAGAGGTATCTAGGATGTGTCCTACCTGCAGATTCTCCTGGACGCCACACTCCCTGCGCAGAAATCAACCCTTTCTGGAGAATAGGTGGGAAATAAACGGGGCAGAGCCCTAGAGCCAGGGAGGAGATGCAAGGGAGGCCACGGAGCTGGGGCCAGCCGCCTGGAACTCACCAGGCCCGAGCGTGGCCCTGAGCCTGACTCGGAGGTGATCCTGCCCCCTCCGTCTTCTCAGGCAGAGATCCCGGGTCTAAGTGCCCATTAACCCGGCGTCCCTAGCTGGGTGTGGACTGAAGGGGCTGTCCCAAGAACGGAGAATCGGGGCCCAGCCCGCGGGGCGCTCCCTCCCGGAGGCCTGCGCTCTGCAGTGAGTCTGCAGACGGCGCCCGGCCACAGACCGGGACGCACTGGGGCCCAAGCCTTGCCGTCCCCTCCCTCCGGCCTGCACACGCTGAGTCCTGCCCCAGACTGGCGGCCCCGGCTGTGCGGTCCCACGGGCCGAGTCACACGTCTGCCCGCGGGCTGTCCCCGCACGTCCGTGTGGGAGTGGGCGGGTGGGGGCGTCGGAGGGCGCTGGGCTCCCCACCACCTGATTGGTGGGAGTCTGGGGGATGCCGGAGCCCCGCCGCTCTCCGCCTCCAGCACCTTGCAGGCCCCCCCCCAGCTCCCGCCTCACGTGGCCGCCCCGCGCCGCCTCCCCGCCTCCCCGCCGGCCCCCCCCGCGCCCCGCGCCCCGGCCCCGCCCGCCTGCCCGCCGCCCCTCCTCCCGCCGCTTACCCGGGGCCGTCCTAGCTGCCCCCGGCCCGGGCCGGCCGGCCCGCGGGGCCGCGCTCCCCCCGGGCTCCGGCGCTGCCCCCCGGCTCCCCGGCCCGGGGGGAGGGGGGTGGGGGCGCCCCCGGCCGCCCGGCCGGCGCAGGTTCAGCGGCGGGCGCGCAGGGCAGGTGCGGGCGCCGAGGGGGCAGGAAGCCTCCAGCGCAGCTCTCGCTCCGGAGCGGGGAGGCGGCGGGGAGCGCGGGGCGGGCGGCGGGGAGCGCGGGGCGGGCGGCGGGGAGCGCGGGGCCGGCGGCGGGGCGGGGCGGGGCGGGGCGGGGCGGGCTGGCGTTCCGCTGGGTCCCTGAGCCCGACACGTTCGCTCGCGCGCCCCTGGACGGAATCTTCCGAACCCCGAGCCTCGACTTGCACCCCCTCCCGCCCGACTCACCCCGACAGATTTTTAGCGCCCCCAGGAGGGGCGGGGGGAAGGCCCCGGGGAGGCCCTGGAGCCTTTTGCTTCACTCCAGTTCCTTCCCCGTCACCCTGCCGCCCACCGCGTCCCGCCCAGCTTCGCTCGCCAGAAGTCCCTCGGAGCGCGCGGCCCCGCGCTCGGCCCACTGCGTCCCGCCTGGCCGCCGCCGCGCGCCTGGAGCTCGGAGCGCAGCGTGGCCGCTCCCGCCCTTCGCCGCAGCGGTGCCAGGAGGGCAGAGCAGGCCAGCCGCAGAGCACGGCTTCTCTCCTGCCAACCGACGACCTCCACCCGCCTAGCGCGACTGCTGCCCTCCGTCCTCCAGACCCGGAGATTCGGAGATTCGCCGGGGGTGCGGGCACAAGCACCTGTGTCTTTATTCCAGAACCAGCGGCTCCAGCGGCGGCGCCGTGGATAGCTAGCATTGAGCGAGTGCGTACAATGTGCCAGACACCGCGCCCCAAGCGTTGCCTGCGACCTCAGATCTAATCTTCACAAGTCTACGAGGCTGATTTTATAGATGAGATAGTGGAGGCTGGAAGGGCCCAGTTACTGGTCTTAGGGCAAAATTTAGAATACAAAGATGGGATCCCTACTTGGGCGGCCCTCCCAGCCCAAGGGGGAGAAGCAGACCCAGCAGCACCAATTCTGTGTAGCTGAAAAGCCAAGGTTCTGGGTGGGGGGGCTGAGGGAGGGGCCCAGCTAGTTAGAGGAGTGGCAGGCCTCAGGGGAGGCAACTCTGAAAGGAAGGAGTTTTGAAAGTAGTGGATTTGGGGCTTTGGGTGTGAGGGAGGTTATGGGAGAGGAGGGCTGCAGGTGAGAGAAGGTGGGAGCAGGTACAGGGGTTTGGGAAGGGAGTCCACCGGGGGTGGGGGGATGCTCCTGAGAGGAGGCAGGGAGGGGCATTGAAGTGAGGTCTCAAAGTCCGTGGTCGCTGTTTAAGGAGTTTGGACCTAGCCTCTGTGCTGGATCAGAAGGCAGTGAAGGGTTTTGAAGCAGGGCAGGAAAGTGGCCAAAGTTGCTGTTTAGTTACCTGCAGGACAGGGAGAAGGAAGGGGAAGCTCAGAGCACTCTTCCGAATTTCTTACCCCTGGGATCCAGCATTCTCCACTATGACTTTCTATTACTTTCTAGACTTTCTATTACTCGTGGGCTCAGGATTCCTCACAGAGCCAGTTTCCTCCTCCCTTTGGGCTCTGGCATTTTGGGCATGTTCCCAATTGTTCCTCCTCCCTCTCCCATCAAGACAGAAAGCGTAGTGGTTATGAGCCTGGGCCTCAGAATGGGACAGATCTGGATTTAAATCCTGGCCCTACTACTTTCTACATGACCGTGACTGAAGGCACATGACTTGAACTATCCTAACTCTATTACCTTATTATTATTATTTTTTTAATTTATGATAGTCACAGAGAGAGAGAGAGGCAGAGACACAGGCAGAGGGAGAAGCAGGCTCCATGCACCGGGAGCCCGACGTGGGATTTGATCCCGGGTCTCCAGGATCAAGCCCTGGGCCAAAGGCAGGCGCCAAACCGCTGCGCCACCCAGGGATCCCTATTACCTTATTTGTAAAGTGGAGATGTGATCAGGTGTCCTCAAGGGCATAAAGGAGTTACAGGTGTACCAGAGTTCTTATGGCGCTGCCTGACTGTAGGAAGTCTCAATGTGTGGCCTTAATTTTTTCGTGTCTTTTTAAAAGACATACAGTCATTCATATGGGAGGTTGGACACCAACTCGGGAAAGCGTTTCCATTTATTCTAGGGGGGCTCCTAGGGCATTGGGGTGGGGTATGAGAAGGAACAGGGCAGCGGCTAGAAGCAAATACAGGGCTGAAAAGGATATGGCTTCCTCCCAGAAGAATTTGCAGGGAGAAATTGGAGTTTATGGACCCTTGTGGGGTCAACAACAGGGTCACTGAGAGCTTTTCCTAACTTGACTAAATTGTCCAGAGCACCGTCCATCCTCCATTCTGTCTCAAAATCATTAATGCTTACTCTGCCCAAGGATCTCAGACTTTATGTCTACTCCCCTGGCCATCACCCTACATTGTTCTACTTCAGCCCAAAGTGGACTAGAAGTACAAATTGTGCAATATTCACACTCATACCTTGGTGCCAGGCTTCCCAAAAGCTTCTCCTGCTAGGAGAACACAAAGCCATAGGTTAATTATGGGATTTCATCCTTGCCTTCAGTGGTAGGTCATTTAAAACATTATTTTTATATAAAAAACAAGCAGCCACGGTATTAACATAAAATGCAAAATATGCCTGCATTTAACATTCCGCTAAGTCATTTTGGTTTTTTTGAGTCACTTTGGGCTAGAACTTACACCAAAGAGGCCTGCTCACTCTATCATTACAATTACTTTGGTGAAAAAGTTTGAGAGGCCCTGTCTTTAGGTCTGTGCCCTGTCTTAAGCCTCACGTGGCTCTGGCTCAGCTGGGGATGCCTGAGGTACAAGCGGGGACTCTGGGAGAGCACATGTGTAGGTCTACTTGCAGCATCTGAGGCCCAGACACCCAAGTGGGTCAGAAGAAACAAAGACCATGTGCTCCACCCCTGCATCCCATCACAGCTTGAAAACCCCACTGAGCTTTCAGAGGCTGTAGGACCAGATTTTGGAGCCTAAGACCGGAAGTGGAGAGTGAATGAACCGATGGAGGGAAAGCCAGAGGCTGGATGTGAACATCCTCCTCTAATACCTATATGGTGGGAGATGCTGCTGAGCAGTTCTCTGGGTCCCAGAGTGCTGGGGCAGTCCTGTTTCAAAGCAATACTTCAGGAGACTACATTTGGATCCAATCAACCCCCAAATCAGCCTTCCCCTTGTTGGCAGCATCAAGAATGGCAGGGCAAAAAGCTAAATGAGAAACTGAGATGGCAAGTTTGCAGCCAACTGGGAAACTTTTCAAGAAACATCCTTGTTGCTAATAACATGTCTGGGGGCTGGCTGGGATTCTAGGATTAGTGCTCAGGAGATAGAAACGGGTAACAACGGGGAGGTGTGATCTTTCCAAAGTGCCACACCAGGTATTAAAATAAACAGGCTCTTGCCTCCTGGAGCTGGGGGTGGCAGGGAAAAGAAATCTGGGTCCAAGCAAAATCAGAAAAAGCATCAATGCATGAGGTGGGAGTAGAAAAGCTCAAACCCGGGAGTCCTCAACTGTTTTCAGGCTTCAGAAACAACGTACCTGAGATTTCAGTATTTCCTAGTTGCCATTCCGGGGCTGAGAAGGATGGTGCAAGGGAAGGTCAAAGTCTGCGGGCCAGCGTGCTCTGCTTTTAGTTCTACAGACTTGTAGTTTGGGGGGCCTAGCAGGTCGGGCCATTGGCCTGGTGGAGGGCGGGGAGGGCCTGTTACAGAACTTTCAGTAGAACTAAAAGGGAAATCTGTAGCGTCTTGGGATAAGGACACGCACAGGGAGTCAAAAGATGTGAGTGGCTCTGCCACACCTCACCTGGAAGATGGGGATAATGCCGGATTCATGGGGTAGGCAGGTATCATGGGCATAAAAAGTGCTTTACCATTTTTCCTTTATTTTCCAGTATGTGTCCGGGTCACTGGCATTTTATTTGGCAACTTTTTTCTTGGTTATTTTTAAAAACTGAAGTATAGCTGACATACAATATATCCATTTCAGGTGTACAAGAGTGATTTGACAATTATGAAATATTCACCATGTATATGTAGTTACCCCGTCACCATGCAAAACTTTCACATTATTGACTGTATTCCCTATGCTATTCACCCCCATGACTTATAACCAGAAGCTTGTACCTCTTTTTTTAAGCTTGTACCTCTTAATCCTCTTTGCCTATTTCACCAAAACTCCCCACCATCCCAGTGCTTTAGCATTTTTCCACCTGTTACAGGAACACCAGCATTCCTTTAAAAGTAAGTAGGCAAACAGGTGTGTCTTTCGCAGGCAGTTGAGGTTCAGCTGCGCAGTACAAACACCTGAGGAGTTTTAAAATTTTTTTTTGTTTTTGAAAGTAGAAGCAGGGGGTGCGGGGCAGGCAGGGCAGGAGAAACAAGACTCCCTGCTGAGCAGGGAACCCAACTGAGTGACTTCGGGGCTCAATCCTAGGACTCTGGGATCTTGACCAAAGTGGAGAGAAGAGGCCCAATGGACAGCCAGCCAGGCACCCCCTGAGTTTTATTTATCTATCTATCTATCTATCTATCTATCTATCTATCTATCTATCTATCTATTTATTTTATGATAGTCACACACACAGAGAGAGAGAAAGAGAGGCAGAGACATAGGCAGAGGGAGAAGCAGGCTCCATGCACCGGGAGCCGACGTGGGATTCGATCCCGCGTCTCCAGGATCTCGCCCTGGGCCAAAGGCAGGCGCTAAACCGCAGCGCCACCCAGGGATCCCCCCTGAGTTTTTTTAAATGCAGATTTTCCCCAGGTCCCGCCCTGGCCTGGCTGAGCAGA